ACCGAGGCACAAGTGTACACTCTGCGGCAGGAAGTTCAAACGCAGAGATTACCTGTTGCGTCACGAGAACAACGTTCACAAGCTCGAGTGAAAGGGTTAACGACTTCAAAACTTTCTCCCTTCGCGTCGAAAGGGATCGAAAGAATTTTGCCAACCGTGTCCGCGTCTTCGAATCGTTTCTCTACCCCGTTTCTAGCAATTTTTGTTTTTAACATTCCGCAGATGATAGGAACGAGCTGTCTTATTTTCTTTTTCTGATATATTTTCGTATCTCGGACATGGTATCGTCTAGATTAGCTTATTTCCACGGCGGAACGCCGTTGATACTCTACCACCGCTACGAGATTCAAAGACTCCGTCAACAATTATAAGACTGATATCAATTCGATACGCGTCGTTATTCCGCCAATTAAAACGATGTTTAGGATGATTTTCGTGATAGTCGTATTTGTGATTCGATGAAACGGAAGCACGCGAGCGACTGATGTTCTATTATAGTATTCTTGCCGTCGCTTCGTATTTTCATAAATTCTCAAATGTGTTCTACGTTTTATTTACAAGTGATATGTTTCTCTTTGCATTTTTCCAACGAAAATACGATGTACCATTTATGTATATACGCTAATGTACACGCTAAGGAGACTCTTAATTCCTCTATGTAAATGTTGTATATGCATGATCGAGCGAAACCAGTGTCGAATAAAAGCAGGACGATCTCGATCAAGAATGCCTGGGTAAATTTTTGAATAAAAGGAATGTTATTTTCGATATTAGGTTTGCGCCCAACATCTAGACCTTAACAGTGAAGAACGACCATTTTCCATTGATCGTTTAAAAAGCGAACGATTCGATTTTCAAATAAAGCGTTTTCATCAAACAACAATCGAGGCGTTTTGAATTATTAATCGCGATGAACAGGGCCACGACTCTAATTTACCATTGTAAGGAACGGTACGAGGATATTTGAGACGGTTAACCATTGAATGTAACTACAGAAACTTCGTTGTTCTTTCAGCTTACTGCAGTTCAGACTATTACAAGAGACTCGGCAGACACTGCTGCCCGAACTGCGGCAAGGAGTACAGGTGGATGCAGTCTCTGATCAGACACGAGAGAGAGGAGTGCGGAAAGGATCCGCAACACAGTTGTCCCATTTGCGGGGCGAAGATACGTCATAAATGGTTGCTGAAGAAACACTTGGTCAACGTTCATCGTTGGCCTGTCTCGAACGGGAAGAACGTTTAACGAGGGATAGAATGTTTCGCGAAATTCATCCCTTATTTTGTACATACAGCTACTATTTAGAAACTGTGTTGCTCGCATCATTGTGCTTTCGATATATGTGTATTTTACAAAGGAAACTGTACGGGAGAGTTTGTTAATTAAACGAATAAAGGAACGCGTGGCGTGCAACCGGTCGAAAAGCGAAGGAAAATAAATACCGTGTCTGGTAAAGATAAAGTAATGGCAAAAAATTATCGCGGGAAATGCTTTCGCTAGAATACTCGCATGAAAAACGATACGTTTGGAAAGCGTTCGGTATTGAGAATACGAATCGAATTGAAATGCAAAACAAACGTATTTGGGGTAATTGCTCGAGTAGTATCAATCGGTTGTATCGTTTTCAATTTTTAGGCCTGCTTAAACAATTTACCTGCGACAACTGCGGCAAGGTGTATAAATGGAAGGAGTCGTTGCAACAACACCGTCGACTAGAATGCGGAATCGAGCCAAAGTTTGGTTGCATCTTTTGCGGCAGAAGATTCAAGCACAAACATCATTTGAAAGCGCATCTGAAGAGACGACATCGATGCGATCAATCGTGGTTCGACGCGCATTAAACGAACACATTTTCCTATTTCCTTCGACTTTTCCAATTTTCCGAGCATTTCTCGCGTGAAATTTGAAAAATCCTGGCAAGACTGGCCGACAATTTGTCGTTGTTTGTATTATTAAGTTGTTCGAGTAACTTTCGTATACGATTAGTAGATTAATTATAGTTTGTTATTGATATCCAACAAAGACTGTTGTAAATATTTTTGAAACTTGCTAATAAAACAATTGTTTGAGCGCATTTTCGTTCAGGCTGAAAGTATTGAAAGGTGTATGATTCATGGGGGTGAAATAGAAAGGTACCGGTTGCGTTTGTCGAATCGACAGTAGCTGGAATCGTGGTTTTAATAAATGTCTACCTTTCTGTGATTTCAGGTTTACCTGTGATTTTTACCTTTCGCTATCCGTGTAACAACTGCGGGAAAACGTACAAATGGAGAGAATCGCTGAATTTGCACAAACGAATGGAGTGCGGTATCGAGCCACGCTTTTCGTGCAAGATCTGCGGCAGAAGATTCAAACACAAGCACCACGTGACGAAACACCACAAATCCATTCACAATTACGTCGATGAATGATTAATCGTTGGATGGATCACGAACGAAAACGTCGACCACCGCGTATTCAGTACAAACATCTTATATTAATTTCTTCTTATATTAATCGATCCATGTATCGAGGAAACCTTCGATCGCGACTATTGATTTTCATGATAACAGAATACGAGAGAAGCGAAGAATGAGTAATAAACGGCGAAGAAAATGTTGTTTGAGTATTTTTCTCAGCTTGGAGAAAGGAAGAACTTTCTTCAAGATGACCTCCCCGTTGCCGAATGAAATTTTTTCAAGTTTTTGAGTGCGAAACGTGTTCAACAAGAATTTATTCCCAGCATTTTCCTTGGCTGTCGAAGCGTTAGGAATATTTTCTTCTAAACATGGCTACATTCAAAAACGAAAGAGCGTCGATTTTTCCATCGACTTCTCTGATCGAACGCATGCGTTATTTTTCCAAAAACTTTTTCTCGATTCTATATCCCGCGATCACCTTCGATCACATTCGTTCGCTCTTGAAAAATCAGGAAAAATCGTGAAGATTAAACCGTCTATCGAAAATTCCAAGAGTCTTCTTTAGAACAACGATCGAATCAGCCGAGTTGTTCGCCAGCCATGCGTCATTCGTCGTTTATGTTTCAGGTGAGACTACTCGAGAAACAATTTACCCGTGCAGAGTGTGCGGCAAGATCTACTCAAGAAAATCTTCCATGTACACGCATCTTCGTCTGTGCGGAAAGGAGCCGAGATTCAACTGCGTTCTTTGCGGGAAGATGTTTAAATACAAGCACAGACTGCAATCGCATCTGACGTCGAATTTGCACAGGCGAAGATATCGATGATCAAACATTTCCGATCTCACCGCGTTTCCCGTCGGGCGAATATTTTTCCATGAAAACGAGAAGAACGATGAAACCGTGCAATAAATATTTTGTCTATTTTCAATTGTCCGTTATTTTAATACGCATTTTTTACGTCTGGTGCTTCCAGTGAATTGTACGCAAAATTGTCTAACGAGAATCAATAAAGGTTCCATGATGACCGATCAATTGAAACGTCTAATTTTCCTGAAAAATTCTCGAGGACGTTTACACGATTCTTTTCCGCTAGTAAAAATCCGCGAATCGAGGGAAACTTGAAACGTTAACTTAACGCGATTCGCTTCTTCTTTTGCAGCGTATTGGCAGAAAATGTGGACCTGCTTTCAATGCGGCAGACAATACCAATGGCGCGCCTCTTTGAAGAACCACGTGCGGGTGGAATGTGGCAAGGAACCGTCGTTCACCTGTTCGATTTGCAGCCGAAAGTTCAAGCACAAGCATCGCTGGCAATCTCACTTAAGATGCATGCATAATATTAATTTGTAACACGCACCGTTTCCTCTTCGAGCCGTCTATATCTGGAAATTTACGATTATTCGTCCACGATTACTTTCTCATCGATTAACACCACCGAAGAAACTAGCATGCCAATAAAACTTTGGTTAACAATAAACACTGTTTATGAAATATTCCTCGTACAAACGCGAACACGTTTACGAAGAAGATTACGATTCCAGCGTTCTACTTTCATCGCGAAATGCGCGAAGAATTAATTAGCACGATCGAGTGTTGGCATATGGAAAGAGGATCGTTGCTTGCCTTTTGTTTCATCGAGATTTCCGATTGGTCATCTCGAGATCACAGTTTTCGTCAGAATTTTGTGTTACCCGTTACACATAGCTTTTTTAGTTGTTTTGTGCGAAACGTGGCGTGCCTGAAGCAGCTTGATTTAAGAGATAACAAAAAATTAAAACAAACAGATGGTAAAAGAAAGGAGAGTATGAAATTAATTTGTCGACTTTTTCTTTGCAGCCACCTCGAAGAAAATGTGGTGGTGTTACCAGTGCGGCAAGCAATACATGTGGAGAGACTCGTTGAAGAAACATCTGCGAGTCGAGTGCGGCAAGGATCCGACATTCGAGTGCCCGATTTGCGGCAGGAAGTTCAAGCACAAACACCGTTGGCAATCGCACGCTAGATTGATCCATTTTCTCAACATATGACCTACCGAGATCGTCGATTAATTAACTAGTCACCGTTCGGCAATTCCGCGTTCGCCGAAAATCGTCTGTGCTCGTCGATCGAGCAGATCGATCGTGATCGATACTTTCTACTCCCATTGTCATTTGCCCCGTTTTGCCACCGTGTGCGTCGAAACAGAGAGGAACATTCGACGATGTTAATTATTTTTAGGAAATAAACGTTACGTATTGCGAAAAGAAATTTTCCAAGTTCCCTAAGACTTTAAACGAGAAAAGATCAGAAAGGAAGAAACGGTAAGATGTAACATTTTCAATTACGGCTCCTGTGTCTATTTTTCTACCAACTGGATCGGTCTTTCATGATCAAAGGTACGAGGTTAAGTGTCCCACGAATGCGAAGAAAAAGCACGAATAAATGTCACCTGTTGTTAATCTGAAACACATTTACGAACAAGTGTTCTATCTTTCGAGAAACTTTTGCACTTTCCTCAATTTATAAACCGTGCACTTTCTCTTCGCTTTTCAGCTATCCGATCTTTTCCCATTACACGTGAAACTGTAATGTAACGATATCGTTCCGGAGTCTCGTGTAACCTTTGTATTTCGTCGTTTTCGTCCTAGGACGATCCTGTCCCCCCTTACTGACTGGTCTTTCGTTTCTGCTCTGTTTTCCAGTGCCCAGGCTCACGGTGAAGAATATCGAGAACCTGCAGTACAAGAGGAGACCGGTGATTCACAAGTGCACCAGGTGTGGCAAAGGTTATCAATTGGAAACGTCGCTGAGGAGACACCAAAGGCTCGAATGCGGCGTCGAGCCGAGACAGAGCTGCCCGATTTGCGGCAAGAAGTTTATGCATAGATTCAAAATGACCCATCATTTGGCCTCGTGCAGAAGAAAACGAGATTACTATGGAAGCATATGAAGCATTCGCCGTATTCTGCCTTTCAGCCAAGCAACATCTATACCAAAATATTCGGATTTCACGAAATTCAAACGAACGGTCTGATTTTTCATTCCGTCATCCCGGAAGTATATGTTTTTTATACGTGATATATATATATATTTATATGACGATGGTAGATCTACCATAGAAATTGAAGACAAAGTATCGAGAGAAAAAGATGCTGCTCAACGTGAAAATATCAACCGGGACTGTGTATAGCTTTTACACGATGCAATAAAACGTTTTCCTTGAATATAAAATCTGTTCAATCTGTTCCATCACTCCACGAACACACGGAGCTCGTGTTCTCTTATTCGCTGTGCTTATCCACTTCGACTTTGAAATAACAATTTATTTTCCAGCTTGCTGTCGCTCTTTTATTTTTTCAATAGTATCCTCTATTTCCCTGGTCTCTTCGAAGGCTGCGCTCGAAAGGGTCCGTCGTTCATCGTAGACGTGTTGCGCTTCAATCTCGCTTGATTCTCTGAACGTCAGAGTAAACTCTAGTTTCCCTTATCCTGCCTCGAGGGTTTCCGGGAGATAATCAACGGTCTAACGAACGAATTCTCTCGTTTCAGGGCTTCTGGCGACGATGCTGCTGAGTCAAGAGTCGCAACAACCGCGCGAGAACAGCGACCTGGTCTGGGATCACGTGGCTATGCTCGGTATGCCGTACAAACCGATCAGAAGTTGGAGGAACTCGAAGGACGCCGATCCAAAATACATTTGCAACAGATGCGGGAAAACGTACAAGGCTACCACGTCGCTCAGTCGTCACAAGAGGCTCGAATGCGGCGTGGTGCCTTGCGAGGTCTGCCCGATCTGCGATCGAAGATTCAGGCACCGATTCGTATTGAACTCCCACATCGTCGGATGCCGCAGGAAGTTGCAGAACGTCTCTCAGAAGAGCACCGATCCACTTGCGCTTCCCGAAGAACGGGAGTAGCATTCGGACGCGTTTCTCTGAAGCTTTCGCGGAACCGCAGCCACCTACCTCGTTGCGTTACCTTTCACCGAAAGTTTATCATTTCTCGCTGAAGCTCGTTGAAATGAATAAATTTATTTTACCGAATCGAATCTTTGGTGATTTTTCAAGAACATTTCGTACGAAGGCATTCGCAGATGTATCGTCTCCTTGTAAAAAGTGCATTTACAAATCGATTCAGTTTTTCAACAGGTACAGAGAAACTGTGCGAACACATTTGTAGAGATAACGTATACGATATGTATTAATGTTTCATCGACTTCAAGTAAGCTCGTTTATTTTCGATGAAACGAAAGTGACAGAATCATTTCCTGCGCTTTGTATCCCGCTGTTTTATATGTATTGATAAATAAACGAATTTTAACGATCGAGCCTGGTTGAATTAACTATGACACACTGTTTCTTCGGCCGCGATCGATGTATACCTTCTCTTTTATTAATCATAGCTAATTTTCTTCGCGTCCCTCTTCTTCTCTATCCTCAGGTATTTTCTCTTTCCCACCTGTCGCTGTTCGTTCACCAGTGTGTTACTTCGACAGGTTACCCAATGAAGAACGTCTGGAGCGATCATCAGAGCGCGTCGATGGACGACATGCTGCTAAAGGAGAGGCACTTCGAGGCGATCTACTTCCCTTACTGCCCGGACGATCCTAACGATAAGCAACAACAGCAACCGCAACAAATACAGCCGCAACTGTTCATCTGCAGTCTTTGCGGCAGAGAGTACACCTGGATGTACAGCCTTCGTCGTCATCAATTGCAGTGCGGCAACAAGGAAGCGAGAAACAAATGCCAGTTTTGCTCGAGGAAGTTTTATAGACGCGATAGACTGAAAGAACACGTGCTATCTCATCACTCGAATATGATTTAGCGAACGAAACGAAACTAATGACTGTCTATCATTTGCACTTCCAAGTGGACGATGGAAGTACCGATTTTGACACGTACCTTTAGAAAATACGTCTGTGTATCAATTTTCGTTCAGGTGTTTCCTCTTGTTTCGTAAGCTGACGATTTGTTAAAGAATCTAACAAATTGTATTTTTCCTCCCAAAGTAACACGAATTTAATAAAGCGACTGTCGATTAATTAATTTGTAGATAAAGCTACGTATTCCTTCTCCTAATGCTTTTTCAAGTATCGTTTGGTAACGAATTTTTGTAACATTCCAGAGGGCTACGAGATGGACGAGCTAGCTGCCTGCCAATTCATCGGGGATACGAAGGACGTGAAACCGTCTCCGGAAGTGGTCAGGCTCCGCGTGCAGCGCGTCGCGCACAACTCGATGCAAAGCTACGTGTGCGGGGAATGCGGGAAAGCGTACACGCGGATGGCGAATCTTCGCAGGCACCAGAGGCTCGAATGCGCGAAACAGCCGAAGCATCGTTGCAGAATATGCTGGAAGACGTTTTATCGAAGATACGTGCTGACCAATCATCTCAACACCAAACACGGCGCTTCTTGAATCAGCGAGAAATCCTCGTAAAACTTGATTGAGATTTTTTACGTTTTCGATCTTGAGAATTTCCATTTACTGTCAATAAATGTTTGAGTTGAAGAAAAGAAACGCGTTTTGTCTTTGTAACCCGAAGGAAAATGGAGGCGAATTTTACGCATTTTACACGCAGACCGTTTTCGAAACGGTCGAACAATTTGTGTTTCTATCGATGCATGTGTTCTTTTCCCCTGTTCCATCAAACACGCCACGAATGTACATACGTGTGTCTCTGTTAACGCGAACCGTTCGTTCTTCGCAGGGAACCTGGGCGATTGGTTTCTGAAGCAACAGAACGAGTACGAGATGCCGCAAACCTTGTTCGACTTTGTGGCCAGCAATTATAATGTCGCGGATACGGGGGAACGGAGGAAGGCGGCGAAGACGGTGATGTGCCAGGAGTGCGGCAAGAGCTTCTCCAGGCTCGACAGTCTTCGAAGACACGAGAAGAATTATTGCCGAGTGAAAGGGGACAGGCTGTTCTGTCGTTTCTGCGGCAAGAAATTCGTCAAGCCATTATCGATGATCTCGCACGTGAAAACGATGCATTCGAGTCTCTATATAAAATCGAAAACCCAGCAGTAAACGTTCGTGATTAATACCTTTGGTCTTCTTTTCCTGGATTTTTCACTTTTTTATTTCACCTGCCCGCCAATTAACAACTGTAAAGTGTGAATCGATAACAGGCAATTGTAACGATCAGACATAATTAACTGGAATAAAGGATTTTGCAACACGTGCATTGTTATGATTTTTAGAAGGATAAGTTTTCGTTGAAAGAACGGGTTATCCATCGATCAAACATTTATCCAGCTTCTCGGTTGTAATCAGCTTTCTTAATTACTAACAAAATCCATCCACGCGGAAGCGGCAAATTCGATCGGAACTAAACGAATGCATGTTTCCTTTGGCAAAAATGTACGAATCGTCAAAACGTCAAAAATGGTCGTTTTTAACGGGGAACGTGTATTTGCAGGCGATAAGTTGCTGGAGAAGAACGCGGAGACTCTGGAGGATGATGATGGAGAAGATTCGAAGATTTGCGAAGTGTTCCACGGGCAACTACCGATGAATTATTTGCTCGGCGATTCGAGCATCCTGAATTCCGTGGAGACGAGCCTGCTTCGTAAAAACGTGAAATCGCATCAGCAGTTTCGCTGCGACGGTTGCGATCGAAGTTACACGCGGATCTACAGCCTGAAGAGACACCAAATGAAATGCGACGCGTTTTTGGAGAATTTACAAGGAGAGGCCGAGTGGTTTCATCGACAAAAATTCTATTGTTCTCAATGTGGCAGAGGTTACAAGAGATTGGACACTCTGAGGAGGCATCAGAGACTGGCTTGCGAGAAAGACAACGTCTCGACTCCTTCGGACAAAGCGACTTCCTAAATTGATCGATTAAACTTTGCCCAATTGTACCGTGTCGAAATTCCTCCTCCAACTGTATTTGAAATTTGTTAGAATTTGAATATGATTTTGTACACGTTTGGGTCCGGGAATATCTCGCATGCTCTAGGGGGAAATTTGCAAAATGAATGCTAAAGGTGTTTGCTTGTTTTCTGTGAGTAATTCGTCGTTATCCTCGAACGTAGAAGATAAACAGAGGATCGCGATCGCGTGCTCGTTGCGTTATCGAGCTACGTCCTAACTACGAGACTTTGTTTTTTCAGGAGAAAATGAATGCGCCGAGGTGGATCCTCTCTTGATCGACGAATTCGAATCGAACACGTGGGATACGAGGCGTTACCGATGCCAATGCGGACGAGCTTACAAGCACCATAACAATTTAAGAAGGCATCAGTCCATCGAGTGCGGCAAAAATCGGATGCGACATTGGTGCATTCATTGCGGGAAACGTTTTAATCGAAGATATCAATTGAGTCATCATTTGATCGTAAACCATAAATATCGATGATCCTTTAATTTAAATTCTCTTCGCTTATTTAATTTTGTTCCATTCGACGAATATCCCTCGGTTTTTAAGATAATGTTTCAACAAAAATATTGTACGATCGAACGAGAAATAAAACATTATGTATTTTGAGGAAAAATGAATTTTCTTTAATTCATTACGATTGATTTCGCGAACGATGCCCACGATTGGTGTTTTGCGTTCATTTTCAGCCGGAGAAAAAATTACGAGAACAGTTCCTAAGCGGTTTCTTTTCTTTCTTTAATTTCAGATAAGTACTCCCTGTGGAAACTTGGCTTAGGGTTGCCATCCGAATTTCAACCCTACACCAGCAACACGGACGTGTCGAAACTTGAAGCATTCCAGTCACGCGCCGACGGAAATTCGCTCAACATTTGTTTCGGTTGCGGAAAGAGGTACAAGTGGAGGGACAGTTTGTTGAGGCATCAAAGGGTGGAGTGCGGTAACAAAGAGAAAAAGTTTTCTTGCAACCTGTGCCCGAAAAAGTTCTACCATCAGTACAAATTGAACGAACATTACCAGGGTCGGCATAAATTACCGAAACTTCGTTAAAACGTTACTCTTTTACGAATCTCTAGGAAATTGTCGTTTCTTAAAGAATTTCGCTACTGTGACTCGTATATGGAACAAAACTCTCGCTACACACTCAATCGATGTTCACTATAAACGTTTATTTATTTATTTATACAGGATGAATCATTTATGTGCGACAATAATATAACGGGGCAGGATTCATCGAATACGAGCCATGGTTAAATTACTTGTACATGTAATCGATATCTTTGAATATTGAAAACAAGGAAATGTTCCTTAAACGATCGTGAATAAGTATAATTTTACGCACTGTTATCACTTGTCGTTAATCAAGCCGATTATATTGACTGTAAATACGGATGCTTCTGATTATTTTGTATGCTAAGCGTGTAAATTTCATTATCTAAATGTATACGAGGATAACACAACGGCGAAGGGTTGTAACTCTTGAGAATCACGGCTATCGTTCTATTTTCTGATAACAAACGATATCAATTTTCAACTTACTGATCATTGTACACGAATCAAGAACCTCGCTCATCTTTTTTACAAAATAAAGCAATTCATTAAAAAAAAATGAAAAACAATAATTGTCGATTCAATGAATGCTATACGTATCGATTGAACAGAAGGACGCGTTTAATGCTGCTTGTACGAAAACTTAACGCGCTATTTAATCTTAACGGCTTCTCCATGTGGTGAACCTGATGCTCGTAAACGTGCCCATAACACTCGCTGAAAGGGTTTAACCTGTCCTAAAAATCGTCTCGCGAAACAACGAGAGATCTAACAGGGAATGAAAGATGTATATCGCGTTCGATGTGCCATTTGGACGTGGCATTGAACGTCCAAACGGCACTCGACGCGACTTACCCATTTATTCGTAAAACATACAGCGAACAGGGCGGAAGCGAAAGATCTTCGCGACGGAGATACAAGATAATTTCACTTAAGTATAATTGCTTTCATGGTGATCGGTTAAATGTGTCCCCTAATCTGTGTAAGTCCACGTAAGCCCGGTTATCGACGCGTATGAACGGTGGTAACCATCGGTCAGAGAAATTCCAGATTTTCCAGGGAAGCGAGCTTAAGGAACTGCGGAACGATACTGATCCCCTTGTCTATTTTTTAGAGCGGAAGTACTCGCCAGGTGCAGCGATCGAATGGTACTATCAGTATCAGACTCTGTATCTTCGATTGATGGCGGAAAGTCATCAAATGGCCACCGAGAACCCGGCTTCCGAAGACGAGTGTTCCAGGAAGATCGAGGGTACCGGAAACGACGACGAGGACTCGGCCCGTTCGGAGGAAGTACTGGAGAATCTACCGAACGCGGTTTCGTTCATCGGAAAGAATGCTACGGCCACGAGTATCCGCGATTCCTCGAGCTACTCATGTCCCCGTTGCGGAAATGCTTACACGAGACCGCACTCGTTGAGCAGGCACATCCGGTTCGAGTGCGGCGTCGAACCGCAATTCGAATGCCCGGTGTGCCACAAGAAATCGAAACACAAGCACAACTTGGTGTTGCACATGAGAACCCACCAGAAACATTAATCACAAACTAGCCTGTTCCAATGATAATGTTTCTAATAAATTCTGCTCGCTTATCGTTTTGTAATTACACGCAGACTGACTTGCTGCCATTGTTGATTTTTATATTAAACGAGATTACGCGATACGGGATAGAGTTACGTAAATTTATGACGTTCGTTTATCTTGTTGCGTATTGTAATAACAAATGTTTTTATAACGATGTTAAAGTATAAGTTTTTAATAGATTTGTTAAAAGTACGAAGGTTTGCCGACTGTTCGATGTGAACGCACATCGATCGATACAGTGCCATTGAATTAAAGAATAGAGAAGAATATATATTTACAATTGTACGCCAATAGAAATAAATATTTTGTATTAATGAAATGTTATTATTTCGAAGGATAAGCTGTTAGAGAAGAATTTGCTTTCTCGTATAGAGTAGTCGATGTTCAATTAACTGGCTGTTGTATAGAAACGCGATTGCATGTTACGAGTAATTTGCAATCAATCGATACCTAATTACTGTTCACAGCGGACTAATCTCAGTTGCAGTATATGCAGTCAATTCGATCATCGAGGCTTGATTTTTCGAAGAAAGATATAATTATTTTGCGACAGCATGACTCGACATAAGGCCTTCAAAATTACCATATCCTTTTTGTCATTGTTAACATTATTTTGCTGTGCCAACACGCTTTTTCTACTTTCGTCGTTCTTCCTTTTCGTTGCATCGAACGTAAAGCTGATTGTTTGACGGAACGCTTAAAACGATGTTGCAGTTTGGAAGGTGCTGAAGGATTTGGAGGAGGGTCCACCGTTTCTCTGTCCGAAATGCGGACGTACTTATTCCCACAAGTGCAACTTGACGAGGCATTTGCGGCTCGAGTGCGGCGTCGGGCCGAGATTTCAATGCGCCTGGTGTAAGAAACGATTCAAGCATCGACATCACTTGCGAGACCATCAAAGAATCCACCTTTACTCGAATTGTACCTTTGAACTGCGAAACTGAAACAATTTCTTTCCTATCCCCTTCATTATTTTATTATTCCCACACGAAGAACTTATTTATTTATTTATCCAGCGTCTAATAGTCACCTAAGTAATAAATCGTAATTTTTTTTCTTGTTGTTTATACGTATATTTTAAATTTTATACAAATCTGTTGTTATACTTCCTTTTTTTAAATCGCTACTAGTACTTAATTGCTCGAATTAAAATTACAAAGTATGAAGGGCATTAATAAATGCATCGGTTATCAAAATAAATTCTTTGCGCTAAAGTATTAACGAAACGATGCCATTTTTCAAAGGACTGTTAAAAGAATACATTATTTTTATGAAACTCGATGTACATAAACAAGGGGAATTACCCAAGTGTTACACTCACTTAATAATGAAACGCCTATACCCCGTTTTGTGGGCAAACGGCTAATTGTTTAAAAGATATTAATAATTAAAGTTAGTTACTATTTACATTGAGAAGTATGACAGACTCACAAAACGCTTGACTCGCAATCTAAAGGTCCACGGTCCAAATCCATGGTTCACAAGTTTTTTTTTTTTTTTCTAATGATAATTTTTATGTAATAGTTATTCAAAAAGAAATAAATTATAATTAAAAAAAAAAACTTGTGAACCATGGATTTGAACCGTGGACCTTCAGATTGCGAGTCAAGCGTTTTGTGAGTCTGTCATACTTCTCAATGTAAGTAGTAACTAACTTTAATTATTAATATCTTTTAAACAATTAGCCGTCTGCCCACAAAACGGGGTATAGGCGTGTTCAGCTCGACGAGCTCTACAAGCTGGCAAAGTTTCATTAATAAGTGAGTGTAACACTTGGGTAGTTCTCCGTATGAGAACCAGTGAATTAGGATATTTTCAATGTTCGTAATCAGTGTGATCGTCGAGTTTGTGCCAAAAAAAAGGTATTAGTAAAGTATCTGTTAGCGTGTAAGTCGTAATTGTATACTGTATAACATAAGGAAAGTAGGTATTTTCTGCAAGCGAAAGGGAAAACATATTATGTGCGTGTACGTGAAAAGAATAAGGAAGAAGGAAATGCTACAAATCCATAGAAAGGGCCAAATGGCCGTGAACGAATCCGTCTGAATCTTTTGTAATCCGGTGCTTTTTGCGTACTATCACGAACCGCGGATAAAGGGGCGGTTTCGCAGCTTATATCGAACGAAGCGAACGAGAACGATGGTTCAGAGAATAATTGCAAATACCTCTAAACCGTGCCAAAGATACTCTCTAGTTTTTACGTTGAAAAAATCCGTACAGTGAATGGTATCTCGATACCTGTCGTTAACTATAAGACAAATCCGAAGATTGTATTTTCGTTTAAAGAGAAAAGGAATAATGTAACGAGTGCGTATCCTATACTATACGAACGAGTCGTACTTTCTTATGCAAATAATAGTGCAATACGCGCGATAAACGCGACTTTGAAGTTGATACGTCAACAGCTTTGATAGATTTTTGCTAGACGATTATAAATATATAAAAAGCGCATCGATCGTCAAAGAAACGAGGGAACTATTTCGTTCTAATATTAAATTCATGTAATTGTTGGGTGTTCCGTAGCGAAAGAAAGTTTAAGTGCGCAAAACAGAGCTTCCGATATGTGTGGCAATGATCCTACAACTACTACAAGTACAAGCAGGTATCCATTTGAGAATTAGAGGCTGCTGCGAATAATAGTCCGGCGATTAAGTTAAAAATTTAAGTCGAATTTTAAAGTTCCTTTAATATTCAAACCACGAACGCGTAGCTCTATGTACTTAAGCGGAAAAAAGTGTGATTTTTCACTGTTTCATTGGCCTGTAATTCATCAACGACCGTGTAATCGTGTAAGGCGAATGACATACGTTTATTCAACAAAAGACATGTACCTTTGCGAATAAAATAAATTTACTTTTTATGAAAATCAATAATACGATGTATGATTAAAATATCGTAGTTGCCGCGTGAACTTACGATCTGAAATACCGACTGAAAATCATAATTGTCAGCTGTCCTGGTGCGCCACCATAGCTTTAGAACGATGATCTTAGGAACTACATCGTGGAGGAAAGATCGATGGATCGTACAGGTTGGTAATTAAGAAAAAAAAATTTTTTAAATGCATGACAAATTATTGTGGCATTACTGCAAAAGTGAATATTTAAAAATAGAGGAAATTTTAATTGACTACCCTCGAATTTGTAAGGTTGGGCATGGTAAATCTATATACCTATATTTGATTTGTGATAAAACAGTTCCCATCCTTATCACCGTTATTTTAAGAAATGATCGACTGACGATTTTACACCGATTGCCAATAAAAAACAGTTAAATATCAACTGATAGTAATATATTACCGATAGATGCAGCTGCGGAATAAACATTCCGGGAATTTTTGCAACTATTTTGAACGCGCTCTGTATAAAAATAGGCGCATCGGTCGGAATTTTTCAAATTAACTCGCCTCGCGATGCGTAACACGAGATCCAGGCAATTACTGAATCACAATGACCGATTAAACGCGGCGATAACCAGTTATCACCGATTTTCTTTTCGTCGCATCGCTGAACTTCGAAACTGCGTCTCAGAATTCCGCACGATCTTGAATCGGAGCGTCGGTGCGGAACAATAGCTCGGGAATACAAGGCGCCGGGTAATTTCTAAATATATCGCTGCAAAGAATTCGGCACTTCGTCAACGTGCATCGCACGTGCACCATTTTCCTATTGGCCTTTCGACACGGTGTGCAATTCATCGACGACCTTGGGGTAGATCCCTGCATTTCGGGACCGGCGAATGGAAAAGGACTGGAGGATCAGTAAGGAAGGAAGGAAGGAAAGAAAAGGGCGGGAAAGGCAGGAAATCGGTTCTCGTTTGGGGATATCGGTGGTGATCCCTTTTTAGAAAAAGGAAGCATTCCTGCGCGCTGACGTTTCGCGGGGCCACGATACGTGCGATCCAGCAGGAACCGCCGCCAGAAAATCAATCCGAAACGTCATGCCGTTGTGTGTATCAACATTGGAAAATCAATGGTAACCCGTGACGTAGGAGTCCCGCCTCAGAACGAGCCAATAGGCTTGCGCGCTCGTCCCCACCGGGGCTAACATTTACACCTACCCACACGACCGTCGGCGTGCTCATTCCGTAGCAGACTGCTGCACCGACCGGACGCACGCGACCGCGCGACAGATCAAAAACAATCGTTGAAAAGGCAGCACGCCGAGGCTACCCGTAAAACGAGAGAGCTATATCCGTGAAAGCGCACGAGGTGTATGCAGTTTTCCAGTCGACACAGCGATACAACGTGGACTGCAGCGTACCGACGATCAGCACTGGCCACACGTCATCTCCACGCATCGTCCGATTTCATCGAACACGAAAAACCGATCGCCGTCGCACCGACACGTAATCGACCCAGGCGTCAACTAGATCCTCGATCTTTTCCTCCAGCAAAAACAGTTTGCGTGCGTTTGTCGAAATAAATAACAATTGTAAAAGATAATTTATTTGTGATTTTCAATTAATAAAAACAGAAAAGAGAAAGAAAAAAAAAAAAATTAGCGCGAAAATAGCGCGCAAAGTGCCGGACGAAATCGACAGTTGGAAGGGTAAAACGTGTTCGTCGCCGCACCGAGGGACCGTCCAGTTTGAACTTTCCAGAAAGACGGAGCGAGAAAGACGAGGACGAGGCACGAGTGTGTACAGTGCGAGGAAAGGAAGGCTTCTTCGCGTGGAATAAAGAGGAATAGTGTGCGCGCTTGCTAGTGCCGGTTGCTGTCGAGATGGCGTTTATGATGCCTGTTGTGAAAAACGAGTGGGACATTTACAAGACCAACCGTAGTCGACGATCCTCCGAGTGCTCGAATCCTCAGGCTTGTCGTAGTAGGAAGGTGGGTAAGCGTGTATTTCTCCGCGACGCATCGAAAGAAAAGCGCGGGAAAATAGCGATCGAAATATATGAAAAATTTGTAGGAATAATTCGTGGAAGATCGCGCTTACGCGAGGATGAATCATCGACCACGAGTTCCGATTCCTAGACCTGCTATTTTATGCATGCAGCGCAACGGTAACTGGCAAATTCTCGCGATTACTCGGCATTCCAGCGATCCGTTTCTCCAGATCTCTAGTCGAACGATTGCCGCCTGTTTTGAACTATAAACCAGCAGCGCCATCGAGCGTTTCATCGAACCAATTCAAATCTCCATTGGCATATACGGCAGATCATTCCCAAAAAATGTCCTATCTCTTTGCCGACACGATTTTGTACGAAGGGACGCGGCGCGGCGTGGCGGAACTCTCGAGCATACCTCTCTCGCACGGCGTGACGTAGGTTGCGCAACTTTGATTCTCAGTTTCGTAACGTATCGCGCGATAATCGGTGCCTTATCATTCTTAATCGCGCCACGATCCGTTGTGTTACCGATAACGGCATCAACAATTCTCCCAGTCGGATACGGACACACCGACGATTCCTATCGCTTCGCCATCGTTACCGTTACAATCTAATCAAAGTAATTATCTAATATTTGAATCGATGAGAATGCTGTTTTTAACGTAAAGATCAAAGAACGCTGTTGACCTTCTGCGACCCAATTAATTACTCTAAGAAACTTCTATAAGATATTGAATGAAATGAATTTCATATATAGAATAGAAGAAGAGTTTAAATGCGAAAAGCGCACGAATTGTTGCGCGAGGGTAACTTTTCTCGCTCGGGTTACTATTTGCGTCCGGGTGGCGCATGGCCACGAATCGGTGACCCGTTTGTCTTCGGTGGATTATGTAATTGGCCGCAAGCAGAAGAGGCGAGAATCCGCGGCGAGAAATTCGCCGTGTCGACGAATTGGTGCCGTTGGTGCCGTTCGATGCACGTGCGCGGTCGCAACTTGCGATTACGTGTTGGTTTGCGAACCACTGTTCTTCGATCGCACGGCCTTGTCTGCAACGCGTCGTTGGATTCGAGCTAGGAAGCGTTGTCCGACTGACGGGATCCTAATGGATAGCTGTTAACGATCGTTAATGACGCGACCTCACCACGTGCCGGTTGAACTTGTCAACGCGTTTCGCATTTCTACCGATTCCCGTTCCGAATCGTCGAGAAGTTGCTCTCGACGTAGATTTCACCCGTCGCGTTGGGTAGCAAAGAGAATTCGAAAGTATCAAAGTTGCGAGTCAGATGAAACGATGATCATCGCGATCCAGTCGAATATGAAATATAGGTTCGAAGTGAAAGCAGTCGCGTATCTCGCGATCGTTTTTGAAAGGCAGACGACGAGTAGTAGGAGGCACAACGCCGTCGCTAATGTATCCCCGGCGAGGAAGGGTTTGAATAAAGGAAATCGGTATGTTTGTTATGTCGACAGGTGTCGGAATGCTCGAAATCCGAGGGCCCTTCGTTGTCCACGTCGCCAGGCTCGGACTTCTTGACGTCCCCGGCTCACCGTTCGGTGCCCCTCACCTCGCGCCACTTCTCGAGGACTTCCTCGAGGGCGTCTCAAAGTTCGCTGCAGAGCCCTAGCAAGAGCACCGGCTCGTCACCGCCGAAAACCGGCAGCTCGAGCTCCTTGAACAAGTTCCACAACCGACTGGTCGACAAGTTGAAGAAGTCGTTGAAGAAGGCTGAGGACAACGCAGAAGACCAGAGAAACTTGTCGTGAAACAGCCAGGGGGTTTCGGGCCGGCCACCGATTCCCGGCTCGAAACCGATCGAGATCCGACGCACCTCCGCACCCGTTGCCGCCCCCACCAAGAACAGCAACGTGGTCGCACGATCCTGCCCGGATCCGTCGCCCTCGGCATGGTAAACCTAAACAATAGCAGCAACAACAACAGCGGCACCAGGAACAGGGACAGGAGCAGAAGTGCTAAACGAGAAACGAAGCGAACGGAACAAGGGAAAGTCTCGTGTTCGGTTCGCCACGACGACGACGATGACATCGATGAAGAGCGAAACGATCGTGAAAATCGAAGGAAAAGTCAACTACCGAAATCGTCTAAAGTCACGATCGTTCGAAAAGATCCTTGGAACGTGCAGTCGTCGTTGAGGAAATATCGAAGATCAAAGATCACCAGCGAGCGGAAGATTTTGAGAGAAGATTTTTCCAAGGTCAGCGGAATCGTTTCGATCGCTTCGAAAGAAGATCTCGCAAGAGTTGGAGACATAGAGGCCGACGTTGCTTCCAACAGCCGAACACAATCTGGTACCCAGTAGGTTGCTACGCTCTCTTCTACGTTTCTCCTCCGACCAAGCAGAAACCTCGCGAAGTTAAACTAAACGAAAAAAAAAAAAGAAAATCAATTCAAGTCCTTTTTCCCCCTCTAATTTCTCCTGATTGGATCGTTATTCACGAAGATGCCCGTTAACTTCGATCGTACAGAAGAATTCGCAACAGATCGTTTTCGTGTTTCATTTTCAGACGAGCAAAATGGGGAAGCAAACGGAGAAAAGCTAAAGATACAGAATCGATCGACAGCCGCGGCTTTCCTTTCCAAAAATCCTAATAACAATCGGAACGATCGCGGGAATCGCGATTTCTTTCTGATAACTGTGAGAATCTGTTTAGGGTGATGCAGGGAAAGAAAAATAATTAAGGAGACGCGAAAGTGAGAGAGAGAAAGGAGAGAGCAACAAGGGAAGAACGAGTCGCTACTCGATGCAGAAGGAGGCTCTTTTTAACGAGCAACGATCGCGATGCAAGCCGGAAGACGAGGGAGCACGAGAGAAGACAACCGACGAAGAGGTGGCATCTAAACCAAGGGAAAGAGAGGTACATAATCGCGACGGGAATTTCGTCGTTCTCGATAATGGCGTGTACGCGTTCAAGTGTACATTCGCAGGCGTGTAAGTCGCGCAAGGTTCGCGGCCAAATCGGGATCGTTACAAGATCTCAATGTCCGCACCTGAAAAAAAGCTTAGTTCCTTCGTTCGTACGTTATCGCGCGTATAGAATCTTAAAAAAAAAAACGACTCGATTTAAGCGTCACACGCGACATTATTTTTCGTTTCATTAAAATAATCGATCGTGCCGCGAGCGGATCCAGCATTGAATCATACCGATCTTTCGAATTTTTCTCGCGGTTCACTTTCGTTCGAATTCTCCACGTCGAGCTTTTCACTCGTTACGCAAACGATAACCATGGTGAATGTGTGTTTTTGAAACATTAGGACCGGCTGAGAGAAAGAAAAAACAGGCGTCGACTAAACGAGGCGTAACTCGGCTCCAATTCAAGGGAGCTGTTCCCGTAAGAGCTTCTCGCACACGGACAACCGGAAACGCTCGTTTTCGTCGTTAACGTTCGGATCGTTTGCTGCCTTCAAAAGGGAATACGCGTGCGTGCGCGCGAAAAAGAAAAGAAAATAAAGTAAAATAAATCTGCAAGCAGATAGAGAAACAGGGGTCACAATATATTACATATACATATATTATATTATACACATATAGGTGAGAGCTGATGAAAGGAACGGCGCCTAAGGAGAGACTTATTTTAATCGCGCATCGTTCGAGCGAGAGATATTAGCTGTACTTACACACGTACATATTTATTTTCAAACTTTTGTTACGTCGTCTCGCGATTCTTCCACGCGATTGGAAGACCTACGCGAGTAGCAATTACCGTGTCGAGACGATACTCGTGTACTCTTATTATTGGAAAACTTTCGATGTATCTCCAATCGGTTCGATTCGATTCGATTTGTTTTCGTTCGCTCGATTCGGTTTCCAATTGGTTCGCAGTTGATGATATAAGGCGAAACACGTTCACGGTATCGTTTCGATGCGATCGTATTCGCACACGACACTCTAGGCTAGAGGTGACGATATTAAACCGCGAAAGAGATATTTTCTTAAAAAACGATCCTCGCAGTGTGTGTATCGAGATGTGTGTGTATCGTATACCGCTTTTTTCCTCTGTCCCGCGCCCGAGGTACTCGATTTTGCTGTTTTGATTAGTCGTTACGAAGCGTTTGTTAAATTCTTGCATAGTATAAACGCATTACTTCCGTCGGAAATTAAGCGATCTGTTATCCGTTGTACGTCGAACAATTTTTCTAACCGAAGTGATCAAAATCCCGGGAAATCGAAGATGAAGAAGGAGAAAAGTGTCCTCGAAATTCGGACGCAGAACGACGTCTTTCGAAGGCATCGAATGAAAAATCACAGAGATACCTTACGTGTAATTTCAAGAAAAAAAAAAATATATATTAAATTCGTTTCTAACGCGCGATGAAAATAATCATAGACCAAAGAATAAGAGTGGTTGCCTTTCCCGCGCAACTATGTCTTATCGATTACGCTTTTATTCTTTTCCATCGAGCAGTCGAAGGTACGATGTAATATTGTTTGTTTTCCGTTAATTGCAACGTAGCTACAAACGTCAGCAAGATTATCGACTCATTTTCGATTCGACAGTATTAAGTATGTCACGCGTAAGATAAAAAGTTTTACGTCGAAAGCATAGTGATACACCGACGACATCTTCTGCGTCCACCATTTTGCCCGTATTTTTCGTTGTCAAACAAAAGAAGAACAAGAGAAAGAAAGAAAAACAAAAATATGAAGTAATATTACGCGTTTCCTCCTTATCGTTTTTTGCAAAATTACGAAGTGGGAGCAATTAAACGATACCGCGTGTAACTCTGTGATACCGTAAGCTATAAGGTAGAATTATTTTGCAATGATCGTATAAAGCGAAAAATGAAAATAAAAAAGAGGAAAAATTGTTGTTGAGGAGATGTTTATTGTTACGACGAAAATTCGTACGAACGCTTCGATTCTCCGTCAATCAACGCGCGTTTTTTGACAGCGGAAGCGAGAAGTTCCTTCTTCGTTCAGCGAAAAAAAAATGCATCGAAACGGCTCAAATTGCATTTTATTCGAATTCTCTGTAAAAATTCGGACGAACAAAGGGAATTCGGTAAAATATATATACATATTTCCTGAAGCTTAAGTATCTTTCTTTAATTAGTAACCATGGCAGTAAATCGGTGGGGCGCAAAATTAGAAGAAAAGAGGAAAAATTCACGAATAAGCTGAATGCTACGTAGGGAACCGATCCGCTAATGTTGTCGTTTCATGTAAGACTGCTTTAGAAAAACAGAAAAAAAAAGAAACAATAGAATTTACCGATCGGATGTTATAAAACGTGGTGCTTGACGGAACGTTGGAACGCGCGGAGGATCGCGCAGACTCGCGAATTTCCGCGACGATTTCCCGCTCCATCGTTTCGTCGGTTAATTTGTACTGATTAGAAACAGTGGTGTTATTAGAGTTTAAAGATTGACGAGATAATACGATCTATTTATTACGGCGGCCTCGGACCGCGGAGTAAACGTGGATTGGGACTCTTGGTTTTTCTTAGCTTCTTTACGCGTAGCGTTTTGCCCTTTTGTCGGTGAAAATGTTTTGTAAAACGTTCGTTCAATGAAAACGATGATAGGCTTAAAAGTATATATTTTCTAGCTGCTCTTTTTTAACTCGATCCACTTTCATTCTACGGTCACAATGTTCGCGCGATTACAAAGCTATATGAATATGTATACACGTATCAATATATGTGAACATATATAAGTATATTTGCATGTATTGATATATCATACAATGCATACTTACATACATATATATATATATACATAAATATTATATAATTTATTATTCGACGACTTAACTATTTTTTGTATTACTATTACAACTATTTTACGGTTATTCGTTATACCTCACTCGGGATATTTTGAGCTGATTTTTAGCGCGTGGCTGAGGAGATGAAAGCTACGAGTAATCTGGAGAAATCTTTTGTTTTCACATATGTATATATTAAAGCACGATATTCGAAATGAAAATAAAACACCTTGGTACACGTAGAATAAAAGATTTTTAACGGCCTGAAGCAACCTAAAATTTTATCGTAGTACGCACTTTTCTTCTTTTTATTGAAATTATTTAAAATAGTAGAGAAAAGTGCTTTCCTCCGGGCTAATTTTCTTTTGTTAATTGTTAACGAAACGATCGCTCAAGGCCCTTGCTCCTCATCCATGACGATTGAATGTCACTGCCAAAATCCCCAGGATTACATAAAAATGTAGCGTGTACATGGTTGATAGACTCGAGGAACGGCTGTCGTATTTTTCACGACAAATCGTCCTCCGCCATCGCGAACCTCTATCATCCCCTCACTATCTTTCGATTTTTACCTTCTGTATTTATTATTCCTTTTTTCCTACATAGCGGCTTCATTATTGAACAAATAAACCCGTAACGCTCGCTTTTCTGCGGTCTCGAAACTGTTTCCGAAAATGACAATTTTCAAAGCCCTATTATCTTATCTCCTAACGAATTTGCAACGACTACGATCATCGTCGAAAGAGAACAAAAAAGAAGAAAAAAAAAAGGTATGAAAGAAAGCGAGATGATGGGTGCACATTCCATAAATATAATTATACCTACTTGTATAAGGTAATGAATCCGTTAGCGTTTGATATAAGACATTCAAGTAAGGATATTACAAGCGAAGATAATAAATGACTAATGTATCTAAAGTTTGAAAGCTTACAATAGACTCGGTTTATCATTATCATGTATCGTGATTTTTATGTCATGTTCAATAAATGAGTTTTAAAATACCTTCGAGATATTACTTCCTACCTATCCTGAAAGCAATATTCCACTGCAGATGCAACCGCAGGCGTAATAGATCATTCATCGATTCTTTCATAATGAGTCACGCGTTAATACATAAGTACAGACAGGGTTGTTCATTAAACGATGACCAGCAAAGACCGTGCCGCGATATCAGAGTTACGCGGAATTATTATGATTCATGATTAGGTGATTCGCGTTGATTCGTCATTAGCGTATATATCACCGATCGGAATCTCGATCGCTGAAGATACGAGAGGAAGTTTCTACTTTTTCATTGAACCAGTTTCGAAACTTTGCAAAATTGAACAAAGTTACTTTCCCAGAGTTCGATAAACCTGACCTACGGACGTAACAACCTTTGACTTGTTTCCTGGGTTCAGGAATTGAAATTCGGCCGATCGATACCGTATAATATTCAAACTGCACAGCGTTCGATTTGAATTTTGAGTTGAGAGGATAAAAGCCTCGAGTTTCGAGAATATTCCTCTGTCATGAATCTGCGAAATTTCGTGAAGTTTGAAAACAGAGTGGGAAGAATGCTGCAACCTGTGTTTTCAATTAAATTCGTCGACGCAACGAATCGTACCCTGACAATTTAAATCGTTCTGCAATATTCGCATTGCGAGATCGGTTACCGTGAAATCTCTTATCGGTTCACCTATTGTCATTGCGTGATAAAAATTGACAGGTAATCGTTAAGCGTTCTAACGCAATCGGATTTACGGTTGTTCGATAAGCGCCTTGAATAAGAATTATCCTTCGAGTAAATCAATTTCGCAAAGCGTAGCCACGGAATAAGCAAACATATAGTTATTGTTTCTACTCGAATGAAGAAAAGGAAGCTGCGCCAAAGTTATTGGAAACGCGATATCGCGGGATATCGATACTCTCGCGGTTTAATTCCGACGTCTAGTCGAAGGAACAATCGCGAAAATCTTGAAAGAACCTTATAATTTATCATGGCATGTCTCATTATCAAGATCCGTGGAACAATCGCGAAAAGTATGAAAGATAAGGAGGATCGATATGAGTAAGAGATCCGAAGCTACCCGCGTACGTACGCAAGTACGTGACATTGTCAATAAAATCTCTGTCCCTCGGCTGCGTTATCAGTAAAATTTTTTGCAAGATTAAACCGCGATATCGAGCTGGAACAAAGAGAAAATGCCAGGACCGATTTTCCTCCTTTCTCCCACCTTTCGTCGAACGATTCTTTGGTTGGAAATTTTATCGAACACCTCCGAGAACGGAACGAACGAGGCTTGAAACGCGAGTCGAGGATCTTTACCCACGGAATGCGCGTCTGGTTACGCCAATGCTTTCCGCGAATGGAAATTTCCACGCGACGCGACGCGGGGACTCGACTCGTACGATTGCTGGTGTGTCATTGCCTGACTTATTAATGCGAAAATTGCATCGGCAAAAATACCTGGCGCCTCGCGAAACGTCGCTAACAGGAAAGAGAAATAAAATCGCGTGCTGCGTCGATATCTCCGATTCGTCCACGATGGCGCCTTCCGGTCTCGAGATCGGCGCGCTTCGCGAATTTCCGATCCAGCGCGATCGTTCCTCAGCCGCTAATCAATTCGTCGCGGTGGTCCGCGATGCAGGAAGGAACGGAAACGACACCCACGGCTTGATATCGCGTTCCGAATTCGTCCAAACGCATCTGCCTGTATATCGGTATTCTCAGAGCCTCCACCTACACTCCGCTTTCGCTCTCTATCGTCGTCCGTTACGCGATAGGATACGCTCTATCCTCTTCGTTCTATCGAGCGACGATTTCTAGCGACCGTAAAGTACGCTGCGGTTCAGAATGAACAGGCTCGGCCTTGGAACGGAGAGCACCCTGTCCTTGGCCGAACGAGAGTGTCGACCGGTGATACATAGCGCCGATGCAGGATCGAAAGGTAGTCGCGGGAGTTGCGTTAACGATGTCTCGATTCAACGGTATTTCAAGCCGCTTTGCGTACAAACAAACAAATTACTTAACTCGAAATTGGGTCTATTTAGAGAGACCGAGCCTCCGAGACCTTGCTATTCGTAGAGCGACCGACTACGCCGGTGCGAGGCTACCGAGGGACCGAGGAAATAATGAAACACAGGTAGAACGCAGTTCGGCAAAGAATTCAGGTCGATGGACTTTCTGGCTAGTACGGAATAGGGTCGGTGATCAATACGTTCGCGCGACAATACTATTTCTAACTCGGTACGAATTATTCTTAGAATGCAACTGTTCTAGCATTCGTGCGATCAGCACGCGACACGACCGATCAATCTACAGGATCGTGATTTATCCGGTTGTTTGTATTCGAGAAGACAACCGCGAAGATCGAGAGAGCGATCGAACCTCTTAGCACGTCGCGACTCATCGTGACGAGATCCCACTCGAGACACTCGAGACAATAAATTCTTGAACAAACGAAACTCCGTTCCGGAAAATCGTGCTAATCAAGGACGTGTTACACTTACTTTACTATCGATACTATGTAGCAGGAAATCCTTGATCCTCGAACCTCGCCAATGTCGGTTTCAGCGACGAACTTGCGAACAACTTTTATAATTAGAAATTTCTTTCACGCGATTATGCGATCGTACGCAACGTTCATGTTTACGTAGACGAAAGTTGAAAAACAAATTTTCGTCAAAGCAATATCGGGGAAGAAAAAAGATTCGTTAAGAATTTTCCGTTATCGTCGCACAATTGGCAAGAGAATTGTAATGAATTATGTCTTCGATGCCCTTCGGGTTATCGGAAAGGTTTTATCGTTACGAGGAGGAAGCATCGTCGATGCCCGGCCAAGAGACGCCACTTATTTCTGTTCTTATCAGGATAGTTGTTAATAATAATAATGCACGCCTATTGACGGTCGTTCGACGAACAGTAATACGGTAAAGAAGTTATGCTGCGTCGGTGAAGAAAATTTGCAACTGGCAATAACATGTTTGTCGTCCATCGATATCGATGGCTACTTTAGTAGGAAACGGAATTGATTTCTATGCGAATCTATCCATATACGTAACAGCCGTACTATTTCCGTGCATTTGTCTCCAGTTTGCTTCTGATCTTTGAATTAGTCATAGCAACTCTGATCTCGCCAAATAAGCAAACAAGAGTTCTGTTTACGCATTTAATGCTTTTATTCTCGTCGCAATCGTTACAAAACCGACAGTTGTTTTCAATCACGTGCCGATCACCCGATTAGTTCGATAACCGTGATAATTGTATTCGAATAAGAATGCTATTGACATTCGCTCGCCTTCGAACGATCGTCAATTCTCTTAAGAATAAAAAGGGCGAAGAAACTGAACGCATCTCGCGAGAGCGTTGCAATGTTTGCGGTGTCAATGTTAAATACAAGAGACAGGTAGACAGGGTTTTTGGCCGTGCATCGAGGGATAGCGTGACTTCGAAGAAACTGACACAGATTTCTAGGAAATACCGACTAACTAACATCCGTCGTTTTCCCGGATGCGACTAAACCGGGCAAGTTTGACGCACAATTGACGCTCGGTGTATCGAGAATCGGTTGGACGACAGCCTGGGTTTAGAAATATTTGACAGTGGCTTGGTAGCATGCAAAGAGAGCGTGAACGTGCGATCGGCATACGCGTCTGTACTTATAAGTAAGTCACCGCGTCTACCTTGTTATTTTCGGCGTAAAACCGACGCAGGTCGTGGCAAAGAGAGGCGCCTAGGGATCGCGACGCGTCGTCTCGACACCCACGTGAGTATTTCTACAAGTACACTGTCACGATCGCTGCCAAATCGTGGCAGTTCATCGGCAGATTGGCCCGAGGCAACAGGGAATCCAACGTGACGCCAGGAGTTAACGTCATCTACGTAGGTGCAACCGCGATCGTCAAAGGTCGGCTCGCGTTTATAATAGATACACGAGCGACACTTTTCATCTTTTTTATCTTTGAATTCTAAACTGGCTGCGAAATATAATCGCAAAATTCCAGGTACACCTTTACGCAGCTGCAGAATCGTTCTCCTATGACCTATCCTAATCCTACCTCATCCATATGCATGCCGGAGAAGAAGATATCGACAAAGCTGATTAAACGCGTTCCTCGCTGTAACGCGAATGGTTAAATTTAGACGAACGTTTGCCGTATTACGCGCCATATGAATCAGGTATGAACGAAACGATCGCGTGGACAGACGCGGAGATGCGGATGACTCGAGTCATTTAAAATTCGCCTGTTGCGAATGCTGCTGGAATGCAGCTGCATGATAGTTTCGTGGTAAGAAAAAGGACTGTTTAAGGGGCGCTGTCCACCCTTGCTGCGAATGATCGAAACGTACGCAGTTGGCGCGACAATTCCATCTGCTTGGCATCTGACACCTTGATTGGCGCGCACGCGATACTATTCGAATCGCGATACCAATATCGTTCGCAATCGATTCGCCTTCCTAATTGTGCAAATCGAATGACTCCGATGGCACAATCGATAAAGCGCGTACAGATCCTTAGCTCGATATTGAATTAGTGGCATCGCGCGAAACATCTCGATCGCGATACACGCGAGGGAACGTTTTAAAAGAAAATATGATAGCGTCAGTATGAACGACATTTGCAACGGCTGTTAAAAAGATGTAACATCGTAGAAGACGGTGATTCGATCGCGCAAAGATCAGGCTCGATTTAGATAACCGATGTTGTTTTTATAGCGACAAATTTGATTGTGCATTCGCGTATCACGCCGCTAGCAGGACACCGATCATGAACAGCTCTGGCACGGTTTAAACCGCGATAAATTCCTGACGCGACTCGTCTTTATTGCCAAATATTCGCGCAAATAGACGCGCGCAAGCGCCCAAATAATCATCTGTCAATTATTTCGGTAACTTGTAACAATTTAGTCGATGCATTTGGAAACGTGACGATCGTTTTCGCGTCATAGTTTCAAATGTATCGCGCGTATGACGAACCGATCTCATTCGAGATTCGATCGACCTTGATACGAGATCTTGGATTCTCAGCAAGGACGATATCCATCTGGATGGAAGTTCTCTGCTGCCGTCTGCCGAGACCGATTCGCTTTTTCAAGGGAAACCAGTCTTGGCCGGGCTTCTGTATCGGTTTTCTACCCTCCATACAGATGTCGGTGTAAGGTTTTGCCATCGACCGGTTACCGACCAGTTATGCGGCAGTTTTAAAGTCTAAAACTGCGCACTTGCCAGCGTTTTGTTCTCCAGTTATTTCCTGTCCGATCTCGTTAGTTGTTAAATGAATTTTTGAATTCTCGGTCGTTCAAAACGTCCAATGATTCGACGGATTATTAGACGATGACACGATACTTGCTATTTAGCCGCGGACCACGCACGTTTTATCGTCACGCGTGAATCTTTCCGGATAGACGATATTTTCATCCGGCTATAAATACTACATTCAACGGTCAGCGAAAACCGCGATATGCATTCGATGCAGATGCTTGAATAATCTCGATTTCGTTTCGTTTCGTTTTCTTTTCAGCACGGTTAACGATCGCTCTTGCCTGAAAGAGTGTTACGCGATCGAATGGGATCCTTCTAACGAGTATTCACAGTTAAATTGAAAGAAAAGAAAAAGTGACGCTTACTCGCGATCAAGCGTGTCTGGCTTTTTTCATAATTTTCATTGGTACAAATGAAAATTTACTGAATGAGAGCTGCACCAGGGCTCCCACCTTTCTGCCGTATCTACGCCGTACTCAAATGACACTGAAAGCACGGATGCAGAGAGCTCCGACCGACCGAAATCAATACCATGTTGGCCTACTACGCCGTGGCCTTCTTTTCAGCTAAATCCATTTGCCGCGGAACACGATAATAACCAATATGCATGTCCCCACGAACATCCGTCAAGCATATCTTGTTAAAGAAATTCTCGAGAAACCACGTGTCTCTGATATTAACTTATGTAATTATCAGCCTTTTCAACACGCGGATACGTCATCCGTAAAATCTTATGTCTAGCCGTTAAATTCGTCGAGTGGACTCTTCGTTCGTCGCTTTTAACGTTTGCGCGTTAATCGACAAATTTGTATAATGACAAAATAATTATTGATGGATAAAAAAAGAACCAGACGAGTTGCACTAACCGGATCGAACGCTTTCAATCGTTAACGCTAAGCCTTACGCGGTAAGGTTTCTCCGGGGGGGAAACGAAATCGAGAGGAAATCCGCAAGGAAGAGTAACCAATTAACTGTTCGACGAGTAATCTGTCAAAGGTATTAATTAATCCGATTGGATCCGGGTGTGAAATTAATACGCTCTTGTCATTTGACGAAGAAGATTATATATGATCGTTGATCGTGTACCTTAAAGATATACACCGATGTACACTTACAAACGGTTATTATCCTTCCGTGCACTATCGATCTTGGTCAAAGAGTTGGATGGGCAGGAACGACGCAATAACAGGAACGTCGTCGCGACGTCCTGGCGCCCGCGACTATGTCCGTGATTCCTTTTATAACAGCGAATCCACGTCTAGTATACCAAACAACGTAATAAATCTAAAGCGATCTTTAAGAGCATTTTATTTTTAAATAAAGACAATCAGCTCTTTTTACCAGCTGCCTTTATGTTTTTTTTACTAATTTGCAATTGAATGGAATCATTCATTCGTGCGAATGCATTCAAATCGTGTTACACGTGTTTTACCCTATTACCAATTGATGTTTTAATTCAACGTGTGAAACCGATAGCGATACCCTTCGTTCAACGAAGCGGATATATTGAATAATGCTTTACATCCAGTTTTATTCCATACCGTCGACGAGTGTATTATTAGAACGCTGTGAATAATTACGTCGGCTAGAAGTTTGCACGCTCATTATCTGCTAATTGTCAGGTTTCATCGAGGTTACGCCAATATAGCGAGCTATCAATATATTCTGATAATTAGAATAACCTATATATTTAGTTATATTAATACCATGGCGGTAATGCGTTGAGGTGTCAGAATTATAAGGTAAATGATCGTTCAACTTACCTTTTCGACGTCTTCGGCTAGAATGTTCCTTCGTACATGCTTACAGGTTTGCTCCGAGATCGTTGATGCTTCAAAACAAAACAAACCCTCAAGATCGTGTGTACTTCGGCGATAATTCCTTTGGGCCAGACATGCCAGTAGTTTGTTGTCCTTCGTCGAGACTGTATCGCGATATTAAATATCTACGCACCTTTCATCGCGTACTTCTCAACGTGTACCGAAATTACGATTTTTCTAATTAGTTCTTTCCCGCGCGAACGATCGTAATGTCAACGCCATGTTATTTTATTGTTATTCGAAAGCAATTAACTTGATGACATCTATGGATGATTTTGAGCTCTTCGAGAAATTTGAAGTGTTCGTTGATTACCGACCGAGCCGCTAGGGTGTCGCTCGAGCGATAAAACACGCGACGATCGTAGTGCTGGAAAGAAACCCTTATGCACGTTTTATCGTTTAAACTCGCACTTTCGAGTTCTTCCCGCGCTCGTTCACCGTGCTCGTGCTTCGGTTCTCGTTCTTTCGAATCTTTTGGATATTTCCGGGTGAAAATTGTGCGATTTAATACACGAACAGTGCAAGTTGACTAAGTTTTAAACTCAGTTGTGGATTATTCGTCGAAGGTGATGAAGAATCCGTTGAAGAAAGAAGGTTAAATTTTCACCGCGTCTCCCACCACAATGGCGGCCATTCTTGTCGTAAGTATTCAAAAAGTTTGATTAATTTTTTGCATGATAAACTCTAAAGAGACTATGTTTAAGTATACACGATATTTCCAATGATTGTATTTGACCATATAGTTCGTTATCTTCTAATGCATAAAAATGTACACATATAAGATCGAGAATCGACAAATGGGATCAAAGCTAACAGCTTTGTATTCTATCGTTTGTATCGTATGTCTTTACGTGGAAGTGTTGATATGCAAAACGTATTAATGCATGCACATTCGCTGCTATAAATGTTCGAATAAGCACGTATAAATACGCTGAATGTATATTACCAGACAATGGCGTAATTTACTCGTAGTTCAGGAAGCATTTAATTGTCCATTTTAAGCGTTGCTAAAGTTGCAAATAATTATTGCATACTTTGCATTGCAGAAACCTTAAAATTGAAAAAAATGTTTATTAAAATTGAAGATACATCAACATTGTTTATACTATATCGTACCATACGGTTCCATGTGATAATTCTATATCGTCCATAAGTGTCGATTGCATGCATGTGTCGATGTGTCGTATTTTACACGTGTGAAGTGTGAAGCTTCGTATAACAAACGATAGGGCAGCGAAATTTCCTTTACATACGCATGAGGGCGTATCAAAAACAAAGCAGGTCCTTGTTCCGGCGATTCTCAAATATCGTAATCCACGTGTCATAAATAATCTTATAACCCGTGAAATATTTCTTAGTTAAGGTATTCGTGAACGTAGCGGAATTTCGTTTAATACGCGTACGGAACGTGGTATTGAATATCGGTAGCCGTATCTCGGAGCGTGCTCAGCAATGGAAAGGATAGCATCCTCCCTGTCGCATTCCACCGGGACGCGAACAGACAGGCTGGAAGAAGCGAACATTTGCGTATAGACAGTTATTTAAAGATTCTCGCTGCATTCAAATTGTGTCACGTGACTGTTGGCTAGCTGCCGTTTCTTTGCCGCAAGTACCTCGGGGTCGACACGTAGAATGCTATACTATGTAGAAAAAGAGAAATCTCTTGTGTACAGGTCATTTCAGACGGATAGAACGTATCTCCCTCTCTCGGCCACCGTCAATTATAATAGCGAAGATGCTTTCGATTTTTGCCACGGATATAGGACTTTCGGATAAGGTTCTACCTAAATATCTGCAGTTTGTCGAAACGCAACCGATAATTTCTATCTCTCTGCGTATCAGATGAATGATTACGTTGATTAGGAGATCGACAGTAGCTGGCGCCTGCCTGCCCGTCCGTTTGTTAACCTAACCCATGACCTTTATGTCGCAATTAACAACGTGGTACTTTCCATTCGGTAATGTTTCGCATGCATTCGTGATCTTTGTCGCGATCGGAATTATTTTGATAATTCGAAACGTTTACGTTGCGGCTCGAAATTTCCGCTGGTTAACATTCTGCTTTTACAAGTGATAAGGTTCAATGATACGATTGCTGAGTTTTGAATGATGACCCTATGGAATGGATGTTTGATACATTGCACAGTTAGAGGACAAGATCACGCGACATTTGAATAACGTCGTGACTCGTAGATTTGTTGAATCAGGATAATTAGAAGGTAATTATTAAACAACTCCTTTTTATGTGAAAAATACTACCGATGACTTGTGAAATTTACCGATCTCGGTTCCGCTCTGATTCGAGCTGTCTCCTCGAGATGGTGTTACCATCGATTGGATGTTCGTGTCTAGGCAGAGTTCTCTATGGACGACGCAAAGTGATGGCGGAATTGGATAGAGGGCAATAGAACGATGGTGCACCACACGATGGCACAATATTTTCTAATAAAACCATTTTCAAAAAGTTGAACAGGTTTCATTGTTTCATAGATGCTTATCGAAGATTAAGAACACAACCATCGTTTTAGCTACGTATAGGGATTAGTCTGTTTGATAATTTTATAATTACAACTCGATTGTTCTGTTAGAATGATTTGAAACTGTGTCAAGTGGTAGACCTATTTTTAATCGGATTTTGTCCGTTAACAGTGCCGTTTTTGAAGTACTGGGCACAGTTTGTCGCTCCTCTCAATTGAAACACCCTATAATCCGGGTGGTCCTTGCATGGCACACGTTACGGCACGGAGAGAGTATTGACCGTCTCAGCGGGTACAGTGGAAATTTCCACTGCCCTACCCCAAGACTCTTGGTGACTACTACATACACTTTCCGGTCGCGGTCGTTGGTGTATATGTAACTGAACCCTAAAGTCTACCATCTAATCTAAAGACCGTCTTTCAAGTTATGACGTTTTTACTTCGGTTCCACGGTAATTTGATGTATCTTTGTAAAAATTAATATCAGCATTCGTATTTATATAAATTATTCCAAATTACCACCTAAAAACAGGCATCATAACTTGATAATTATTTAAAAGGGTTTTGATACCGTTCTTTCTTCTGAAGTATTCAATTGCGATTCAATAGCGTCCTAGATAATTCTTAAAATAGCATTTTCTAGATTATTTTATGCAAAATGGTTCGTTAGTTTTTTTTTTAATTTGATCTAAGAGAATGAGAGTCATATTTTTTGTATTTAGTCTGGTTTTTACTAATGTCGTTTATTAATTATCTGCATCTGTGCGCAATTTATGGATAATCTAATGCGTATCAGTTTTGTTCGTATATTGATTTATGAACGTTGAATGTCAATGAGAACCACTGCCAGGTATGCAGGACTTCCCTGCTTTGAAAAGGTATTGAAGATAACTTGAATAGAATTTGTGATGGGTCGCCTGACCTTCGATGGAAAAGCGTAGAAACGTAATTCGTGCAACATTCTTGTTTCTACATTTTTCAAACTATACAGCGTTAATCGTTGGTAGAGGAAAGGGAAACTGAAGATTGGTGTTGATTCAGTGGGCTGGTAGAAAGAAATACGAGATAGCAGTCCGCACGAACCTATTTTTAGCTAGCTGTCCTTCGGTTTTACGCAACTACATAAAAAGAATGCTATTTACTGCGCTCTATCTCTATTATCGTTAATACGTTGAAAAACATATAAAATTCTGTTTAATAAATAACGATTAAATTTATCTCGTCCGAATATTAGACTTTGGAGAATTGAGAACACACAGCCGATGCTTTGTTAACGCTTCTCATTAAAAATCAAGCGGGTAGCGTGGGAGTGAATTTGTTAATTTAATGTTTATCCATTCACGACACACGCACCATCTGTAGTAAAAGAAAATTGAGAAAAATTGATAGCGTTTCACGGTAACTTTGAATGTTGCCAACTATCGCTATTGCAGAGTTCTGTTCAGCTGCAGTTGATAATAAAGAAAAATACAGTTTCCTGTTCTATTACATTTTCCATCCCCTTCCAGATGGTATTGATGGTACCATTTTCAAATCATTCAATAATGAAATTATTTTATTTAGCTGTTATTTTGTAAAGCAAACATTTTTTACAAAATAACATTATTTGAAAATTGCAGTTGCAATTTTATTACCACCTGCAATTAATAACATCAAAGACAATCTCTTAATAAACCAGACTGCCCGGCGGTAATTAACCAAGTAGTTCTTGAAAGTACTTTGCAACTTTGAAAGGAGATTAAAGTTCTTATTCTTCTTAAAATACGAAACGTTCCAGTGACTCCAGTTTTTGTACATTTTTAATCTTTTTCATGGGAATATTTTTCTCTCTCATAAAAGAATGCTTGCCCATTATATTCCTCGTTTCTTTAGTTCATCGATTTTGCAGAGTAATTAAGGTAACCGCCGGGTGAAATAAATGAAAAACGAATAATATATGAATCTTATATTATTGCGTTTCTTTCTTGAAATGTTTAGGAATAAATGGTAGCCCTTTTTCTTGGTCGACTTCCCCTTTTCATTCCGCGTTATTCATCGAGTATCCCTGTACAAGTATGTTACATATGTATATGTACATATACGTAGACTCTGAAAGTTTGCATTTAACATATCTTGCTTTCGATTTGACGGCACATCGTGTGTCATTCCTCCGTTACCCAGTCTCTTCTCTTATCCCCTTCATTCTCTTCGTCCTTTGTTTTATCCCTGTACTTTATGTCGGCTCGCTTCGCTAGAAATCATTCTCTGGAAATTGCGGATTGATTCGAAACTCTTCCCGTCCTTTCAACGTATCGATTCCGATCGGATGCTTTGTAATAATTCGTTGCCCAACTTTGCAGCAAAAAGCGATCGTTTAAACGAAAAAAAGAAGTGGAATCTTCACACGGTTAAATTGTTAGGTAGACGGATAGTGGGTCACGGGATAATCGAGTTAAATGTTTTCCTTTCGCGATACGAATAGGGGGGCTAAAATAGTGTTTCGTTGGTCGGTTCGTTGGAACGCGCGTCAATATTTGTGTTATTAACAGTATAAAATTGCACGGGTACCAGGCTCGAAGAAGGCCGAGAGATAAATAAGGTACACAAGGGGTAGTGATTAAACGTTCGCGAAATGAAATCTGCATTTGATTATGGCCCGCTGATTGATAGCGGTGCTGTGCATATTGAGCGTACGCGTGTTAATCAGGTTAGAATATTTTATGTCATTAGCAACAATTTTAGTGTGTACTGTCTGGTATTGCGGCTCGTTCGTTTGCGCTAGCTAACTTTAAGCCACGATTCAATGAATTTCTGAAATTGTAGAGAACCTAAAATAGTTGTTCGATTTTAATGGAAAATTTATACGAACAGTAGCAATTATCTGAATTTCTTTGAAAATAAGGGAAATCGTATTAGACTAAATCGAAGCAACAAACATCTCGATAAAAGAGCAGGGGAATATATTGCGAAACGATGATAATCCAGAATGCAATCGGTGGTTTACATGGTAGCGAGAGACACGGGCATCACTCGATTTCGCAGGATTATGCGGATCTTAGGGATTTGCGGTGACGATACTGGTAGCCGAGCTCGGTAACGTTACATCGCGATGTAATAGGCGCGTGCCCTTGAAGTATATGCATAGAACGGAATTTCCAATCTTCCAAGGGGCTATTCAGAATATTTGGAATTAGCGCCGGTGAATATACTCCGGGTGTTATATTGGAAACCGATACCAGCGAACCGTACTCTTCGAATGCCAATGGCCACTTAACCATGCATCCACCCCCTCTTGTGTCTTTAATTAGGGTTAGTTTATTTCGAAACATTCGCCGCTTGCCAGCGATGCATTAGCCTGCATTTCTAAACAGCTTGACTATGAATTAATAATCCAACCGGCAGTGCATCATGGTACGTGTTACATTGTTTTCGTACAGCTTTATTTTTACGTAGATTCATCGATTATCGGAGGGTAGTTTTATTCACCGGTGGAATCGGTAACCACCCTCGTTGATATTTGTGGCAGCCACTCCTACCTGCATTTGTTTCACTTTTATTTGGATTCGAACGAATAGCGATGCAATCGAGAATCGTACTTGTGGAGGATGGAAAGCGTTTGTTTGCGGTGAATTGACAACTTTTGAATTACGATTCGGTGACTCGTATGGTATCGTTGACGAAGCGAGTGTTTTTACCTCCACCACGTTCGATCGAGCGGTCGAAAAAAGTCGGGAAATTCTTGATATAAATATTCATTATTGCAAACTAGCGTCTGCTGGAAAGTTCGAAACTTGGAGAAACTTGAAGCATCTCGTTGGTAAAACACGAGCGTGTTTCCAGCAGCGTGATAAATAGCTGTTAGATTATAAAACGGTAATGGTCAACAGGTGCAGTTTTCCATTCGCGAAACCGATAGCCGCATTTTCCTTCGTATAACAGCAATGGATTAAACACGCCATTGACAGGTTGTTTTATGGAAACATTTGATCCAGTTTCCGCCATAAGTGTACTCGCGGCAAGCGCGCAACTCGAGCGTCCATTTGTTCGTTTATTACTGTTGCGCCAACTATTTCGCACCACCGCGGATGTTCAATTAAGTCGAACGTGTACGTTTCGTTCGGCTGTATTTATCGACTTGTTTCGATTAAAACCGTTCGTTGAGATAACCGCATCTAATATACCTGCGGAAACGTTTGTTAACGACGCGTTGCCGGTCAGTAATCGAACGCGTGTCTGAATAAAATTAACACTTTTCTATTCGCGATTTACTTAACCTTCGTACTTTATCTTCTACTCGCTCATTTGCTGAAATCATCGTTCTTGAAGGATTTTCATAGGGTTCGGGGTCTGATTTTCATTGGCTATAATTTGGACGTTAAACATCTCGCAAGCAGTTACTCTGTAACACGCGATTAAGCGCGTTCTCAACAGAAGATGTATCTTTAGCTTAGCCTGCAGCCGAACACGGTTATTACATTCCACGAGTCGGTAGAGAAATTCTTCTGGACAGAATCACAGTGGTACGAGAAACTTTGTTTCGTCCTGGTGGATCGAGTAGCTTTCTTCGGGGGCGATCAAGCGATTGATCGGTCATTAAACTTACCTTCATCGAAGAAGCGTTTAATGGTTTAGGGATGAAATAACTTTGGTATGTCGAGAGGTTGAAAATGTTCAGTTTATTTTAATTACGTACAGTGTCGCAGCCGTGAAAACTTCACCTAATATTCTTCTATGTTCGCGAGCGTACTCGTAGAATTTGAACGATCCTGACAAAGGAATTCGAAACGTCGATATTAAAATTACTCGTCGCGTCTAGATCGATGAAGTCTACGAAACGTTGATTAGTACAATTTTGAGCGTTGAACCTTGCAGCTAATAGATTCTATGTAGAATGCTACGTATAGGAAGCACATCAATTTATAAGCGAAACCCTCGTTTTGTAATCTACGAGAATGAAATGATTGGTGAACCATCTAGACAGAAACCGATAAGATGTGCAATTTTTCGCCGAGTGTAAAAAGATATTGTAAAATTCTTGATACATGTAATTACGTGTACAAGTTAGAATGTTATACGTATACTTATAATTAACATACACGTATGTACATTGATCACATTAATACATCGAGTGAGCATTTTAGTGTTATGTATTTGGAAACGATGATTCGTCTGTTTCACGATTAACCCTTTCGCTATCTTCAAAACTTGATAAACGATGGTTGATTGTTTTCGAGATAAAACTGTGTGAAATTTAGCTCGTATAGATACATCTACTTTTTACAATGAATAATTGAAATACATCGTTCGTAACGAAAGGGTTAAACCGTCTCGTTTTCTCTTCATTTTACAGAATACACGAAGAACAGCGATTGTACTTTGTAATTGTTTACAGACACGCTCTTCTCTTAACAAGAGCTAATTCGTATTTTAAAATCTTATCGAGCGCACCTTCGTTTCAGTTTGATTATTTTCTTGACGAGAAAGTTACACTTGGAACTACGATCGTAACGATTTTACACGTAGATACAGTTGCTTGCGGCAACGAGAAACGGTACCGAAAGAAATTTCAAGAAGCAGAAACTGGTATTCGAGGCATGTAAGACGCGTGAAAGGGTGAACGCGACATTCGCTGCTTGCGCGACTTTTCATTCGTTAAAAATGTCGTTAATTTGCAAGGCAGCCTGCGGTATGAAAGCACGTGTGCCACCGCGGTTTTAAGTTCGTTTGTGGTTTCGGTTAAACGGCAAAGAGCTTAAAGCGACGCGTCGCGATCCTTTTAACGAATTATATTCACCTGAATTTCCGAATGTCTTTCAATTCTTCGCCGCTGCTTTCTCCCCGCGTCGCATCGGTTTTTCACCGCGCGAATGTGCACCTTTTTACCCGACGTCTCGTGGCATTACTTTGATTCCTCTTTATGCGAACGTTGAATACCCGCTTTTCTTTCGCTCCATCAAGAAATTTCCGCTGGTACATCTTCTACGCATGCACGGACAAAAATGTATATAATTAAAAGTTTTTCATAAAATGCAAATGGCGACGAAATTCTTAAGAGATCTTCCTCGAAGCCTTTCTTCTGTTCGGTTAAAAAAAGAGAACAAATTAAGAGGTGTCTTGATATTTGGATCGCAATAAGAGTCTGCGAAAGGCATACATGCTTTTGTACAATTTGAAAGAAATGTATGTTCCAGTCGGCTTCATATTCTTTCATGTATTTCACAATACACTGTTTGAAGGAAGGAAACGGAAAATAGCCTCTCAATTTACGGCACGCATTCCTAAACCGTTTCGAAACTGTACAACGAATTTATCTTTCTTCGAACGAGGATAAATTCTGGATTAAACCGGCGAGTCTTCTCGCGTTTCGATGATAAACAAGAAAGAAAGTATCTTCGATCAGATGTGTTCGAAAACGCTCTCGCATCCTAAGGCTAAAACTTCTACGCGGATTTCTACGATCTAGCAAGATTTCAGTCTACAATACTAACTTTTAAAAAGGAACGAGATTCAGGGAAGAAAAACGTAGGCTGGTAATGTGAACGAGTATCCGAAGGTGGCACGAGAAAATAGAGGAAAATGTTAATAATTCGAGGAAATTGACGGGGTAGGCTGGTCACGTGGCGCAGCCTCGATTGAAGTTCTGTACACCGAGGAAAGTCAGAAAAATCAACACGACGTTGATGGTCGGTCTCGATGTACCATTTCGTCGATCACCGCCGTGCATGGCAGCTGGTTTTTCCTCCTCTGTGAAGAGAAAACAACAACAATGAAAAAAATAACTTTTCCCGCGACAAGGAAGAACAATATTTGCGATGAAAATGAAAAATTGCGGAAAAAAAGAAAAAGCACTAACCTTCGATCACGTGGATCATGATGTACGCCGCTCGAGCGTTGCTCGGCGAACAAGTGTAATTGGCACCGTGGGAGAGTTTCACCTTGTCGACCACCAATATGGAACCATTTTTCGTAGCCTCGACCCTGACCCCCGGTTCGTCGTCGTAGTTGATCATCCTACCCTCGCGGTACCAGAAGATGAAGCTCGGGGTTTCCGTAGACGCCATTAGCTGGCACTCTAATCGAAGGCTGGATCCTTGTTTCACGTGAAGATCCGGTCCTCCAGGAATCGTCGAGTACGCTTCCGTGATGCTCAGCCGAACGAATCGTTGCTGAACCGGTTCCGTTTGAATCTGTTTCGACAAGAGAATCCGTTCGATCGTCGTTTAATACCTGTTCGATTGAAAATCATTCGCGGATCGTCTGGTCGGAGGGGGAGAAAGTTTAATGCCACGGGCGGTAAGTGAAATATCTCCTGGATTATTATCCTAAGCCGAATTCAATTATTCAGCCGAATTGCGATTATTTTCGTCTTCGACTCTGTAAGCCCAAGGGGTTACAGCCTACCTGACATTCGTAGAGGCCAGCATCGTCGCGTTTCACATTCTTTATCAGTAGATTCCAATCTGGACTGTTGGAGACCATGAATCGCGGATCGACGGCGTGGGTCCTTCTGCCCACCGTCAATAGTTGTCTATCCTTTCTTCGGATCCAAGTTACCTAAAACGAGAGATACCCCGCTACACGCAGGCGTCTATGTACACAGGCGCAGAGGGATGGAAACAGGGGTTGGACTGAGTTTAAACGCGAAACTCGATGCGAAGGTCGGAAGTGCAATTTGTCGGCTATGTAATTCGAGTTATACCTACAAATGGATCGCGGAAACGTGCTCCAAAATTCTCTAACGGTTTCTCTTTAAACGTTTCCACGTTTTTCGCGCTACCATCCCTCGCCGGTGTCGCAACAACCCCTCTTTTTATTTTTTATATTCATCGCCGACGCGTGCAAGAAAAGATGGTAGCGTACTCGCGTCGTTAGCGATATGTTTTCAGCGTGCACTTTTTACAAACATCGGATCTAAAGCTTTTGCACTCTCGACGTTACGTCTTTCGCGTCTGTTTCTTTCATCCAGCAGGATGGTAAATACTATACTCGTTTCAAAGAATCCCTGCTGCATTATTTATGACGCATTCAGAACGAATAAGAGCGGCTCTGGTAATAAATCCTTTCCTCTTCCGTAAGTACGAAACATCGTCATCCGGCTTATCCGTCCGTAACACCATTTTCATCTCCCGATGGTCCGCTGTTTTAGCGTTCGCGGCAAAGACGATTTGGAAGGAAGCAGGCATGCGCGTTTAAACGAGGGAGTCGCGAAGATGCGAGGGGAAAATCGAACGAGAAAATTTCTTTTTTTCAATTGAATTAGCATAATTGGCGATTCGTTTCTGGAGCTGGGGCTGGGGGAGGAAGATCGGGGTCGCCCTGTGTTCCTGACGATGACGCTGGGAAAAGGAAGCCGGCCACTTGCGTGCCTTAATTGTCTTTGTCGAGTGCACTCGGCGTTTGCGGCAAGTAGGTTTCGCGATTTTCTGATGCGAGCTTGAGGATCGACGAGTACCGACTCGACGAGAGCACTCGAGCATAAACGAGCTGAATAATGAACTGCTGCGCGACGTATCACGAGACAGCGTCTACCGTTACTCCCACCTATTAATCCAATCATCCTGTCGCTTGATTTTTTTCAAATTGCCACGCGCCTCTGCGCTCCTTTTCCAAAGCATCCATCCGACAGTTCACGGTCTTTAATTTTCTTCCTTCATTTCAATGAAGTATCCTCGATTCGTTCCTCCCCCCGCGCGATTTATCAGAAATATCCTTTTCAGAATATTAGAGAATCCCTTGTCGCATTACGGAACCTCGCCCTTGTGGGAAAGAAACAAGAAAATAATCCTTTTTCCAGCTGACCGAGTTTCATTAATCAGACGACTTATCTTCTCACGTGTGAACGCGCCACCTGATAGCGTCCGCTCTTTAATTAACGTCCTTCCCGAAGAAAATAGAATAAATTCTTCGATTATTGAATCGCGATCGTTTTAGTCTGGAAACCTTTCCTCTGACCAGAAGAGCGAGCGAATCGCTTTATAATTGTGTACCGTCTGTTGTTGAATGGCACCATTCCGCTTCCCTTTACGGTAGCTCTTGAGCGTTGGGGTGGTTTATAGCCAGGTACTAAAATGGACGCCGTTTGCGAACGTTTAGCGTAATGAATCCGGGCTGAAACACGACGCGGTTTGTATACGCAGAGAAGGTTGAAGGACAGCAAAGCTTAGGCTTGTTTGGTACCGGATGCCGATACTGGAAAGGGTGCAGGCAACTGTGCGGCGCGAATAAAAGATCGCAGGAAAAATCGCGCGAGTTTCCGGTGTGGCTCGGTGCCTGGTTGCACCCCCATCGATTGCCCCTTTCGCGCTTTTCCATCTGTCGCGATATACAGAGCGACCGTGACTCCACGGTTTATCTTCGCCTCGCGAACTTCTTACTTTACGGGCTTTTTCCGACAGTTCCTGGTCCTCTGTTCTATCACGGCTCTTCGAGATTTACGGCCATTCCATTGCTTCCTTAATACAGGCGATGCAACTTCGATATCTGGACACTTTTTTGAAATATCATGTCAAATAATGGATGACAAAAGAGAGAAAAATTGTCGGGGAAGTTAGCTGGACAGGAATCATCTTTCTTTCATTATGTTGTTTCATTAAAAGAAGGATATTTTGAAAGTCCACGCACAGTCGCCCCGTATGGTTGCGTTTTTAATGGTTCTTTAACCCGGCAACTTTTTCCTCGACAGCTTGGTCTTTACGGCGCGGCATTCGTTTTCCTCTTCCACTCGAGACGCTCGTAGAAAAGTTTTGCGGTTTATGAGAAAATCGCTTTCGGTGTAGCTTCGATGGCACCGCATTGCCACCATCTGGCACCCTCTCTCAAATCGTTGTCTTCTTTCGTTCCTTTCATCGCGATACAGGAATCGGAATTGTCTTAATCGAGCGATATTATAGAACCGGTGATCGGTCGTATCGGAAACGTCGAGGAAAATTGGCCAATTTTTCCGTTGTCAACGCGAGATATTCGATGCCGAGGATCCGATAACAGAACGTACGCGAGTTTCGATCGGTCGAGTCGCAAGCACGGATAACGAGCTGTTACTCAGGAAATAATTATGCATATTAGGCCGATATTGGAATCGTCTGTTAATTCGTGTATCAAACCTGTTCCGCGTATACATCGAGCACGGGTTAACAAGACAAACGGGATATATTCGTCGCTTTCCATCAACGTGCCAACGTCATTTCCGTGACCAGATCATACGAGGACCGTGTCCTGTCGAACAGTAGAAAATAGGTCGATCTTGTTTCCCGTTCGATTAGCGTTCGCGATCGCGTTAATAATGCGATGAAAAGTCGTATCGCGTTTGATTCGGGAAATTGAAAATTCGATTCGCTTTTAAAGTAAATCAACGATTACTCGGATCGATTAGCATCTCGAACGGAGGAAAAAAGATTCGCAAAGTACGACGCGGCCGCGTTCGATATTCGAAGACGAACTTTCCATGACATTCCAAAGACAATTCGCTACTCGAAGCAGAAAATTGGAGAAGTTCCGTACTCCCGCTGGGATTCTCTCTTGGATTCTCCGACGCACGTGTACCGATTTCCGAAATATTCATATTGCCCTCGGCCACCGTGAAATTTATACCCGGCACTCCGCTTGAATATAACGCTAAAACGTTTTTGCGTTTGCGTATATCGACGGACCGTATGCACGCGATCGCGTTATCTGAACGAGCGGGAAAAACGCGAGCGGATGTAATCAATGGAATAATTTTCTAGCTTAAATTGTACCGAATAACCCTTTAATACAGCCGTTTGAAATACTAAAAACCCGGACGAAATCTATCGGTGTGATCTAATCGAATTCTTTGGCCTTCTAATTCTCGTGTCGAGGCTTGCAATTGGAGTCATATTCGTTGCAGGTTCGAATTGAAATTCTATCCGAGTGCGAATCGATCTTTGGCCAGCATTAGGTGTCCTTTTGTAGGCGAACGCGCTTCCTGAATTTCTAGTTACAACCGCTTGGCACCTTGCACCCTGAATCTTCCGCTGCCACCACGTATTTCGTTACTTTGGCCCTGCATCCCGATACTTGTTCGCTCGATGCCAAGAATAGCATCGGCGAGGATCGATAAAGAAATTTCACCTTTTCGCAGATTACGTTTTGATACACTTTTACATCGGTATCGATTCTAGGCGCGAAAGGAGAGGAAGATATTCCGCGTCTCTTCGCACGTCCGTTTAGTTCTTATCGCTGATTGCTTTCTGGTCTCTGAAAGGGTCGAAGAGAAACGGTCGCTGCTCAATTACGGCAGGTATCCACGCTATTCTCCACGACAAAAGCAACAATGTTGAAGCGATATCGATATATTGTCAGGAACGGACGGTTAAGTGGGCCATTTCCGACTTTTCATTGTTTCTGAGAGGCTCAATTTGCCACTCTCCGCTGCCCACTCTGCTGGACAGTGCTTTTCCTCTTGTCCCGAAAATCTAGGCAAATATTGCCACGGTTAAAGGCAACGATCCTAAAAACCCGGTTGAACATTCGCCTGGAAAGGCGTTGATAGTTCCACTTGATTTCTTAATTCTCCGGAAGAAATTCAACCGATATTTCGTGCATTGAAAATTATTTCGAAAGTTCCTCGCCGTATCGCACGCAACATTTAACGCGAAGCGGTAATTAAAAGTTCTTAAGCGATTTCACCTTTCTAGGGCATCGTCGCGGATGCCTCGCGGACGGTAGTTTCCGTACAATTACGCCGTCGGAGACATAACTTGTCGCGAAAATTGGGTAGCGCAAACGTCCTCATTTTTCTCATCGATTTGATAAATCGAACAGTTATTCGGCTCATTGATGAAAACGACTTTTCATTTATTACCGTCCCGAGAATGTATCTTATTTTCAACGAGGAAATTTATTTCGCTTAAGCAGCCTTTGAAAAATCATCGTTTTCTCGTGATAGAGTTCCTCTTTCCTTCCTTCCTTCGCTGGCATCTCGCCCCCGTCTTGATTTGCGGCCGCTGTAATTAACTGCTGTCAACGGCACACGCGCTTTAAACGACCCAGAGAGATAGAGCAAAGCTGCGAGGGAAAGAGAAGGTGAAAGGAAGAGCCACTTCCTCTTAGTGTTCCTCACGCCATTGCCCTGAAGCATGGATTTCTCACCCTGTCGTGATCACATTCTCCCTTAGACAGCCATCCTGTCAACCACTCTGTCCAATCCTCCACTCTTATCCGACTACTTATCAAGCTTTTGTATTTCGACTGCAAAATTGATCCTCGCACGAATCGCTTCGTTGCTCTGGTTTGTAAAAAAAAAAAAATTAATTGCTCACGATCGATGAAATTCTATTCGTCGTTCTACTTTATTTTGCAGCCGAACCATCGAGAAAAATGTAGAAATTTTCGCGGAGAGAATATAAGGGCGCGAATGTGTATAAGAGAAACCGTAGAGCAGACGGCGCGTTGACGCTTGCAACATTAATACCGAGAAATTACGTTGCAAGCTAGAAGGGTAAGGGTTTCAAGCCTCTCGGACGTTTTCTCTTTCATACAGCTATTTTCCGGTCTCTTGGCGTGGTTGGCGCGACGAGCAACCGTTGCATGCCAACCGGGCCCCGTTGCATGAAACGAGCGACTTCCGCTTTCCTCTCTTCCAGATATGTTTCCCGATTTCTGCTCTTTACCACGGTGACCTGTGCCCGAGGCTCGCATACGCCAGCACTCCGTGCCAATCATTTATTAATGAACTCGCGAGGAAGGGAAGAGGAGGAAAGTTGAGCACCGTATTACTAGGGTGAAACGCGGCATTTTATTCGGTTACGGGGATTTAAAATGATATACTAGAAATAATTCACGGTTATCGATGAAATTTGCAGAAGAATTTGCAGTTATTTGTTATCCGTTAACAATCTCGATCGTTTGAATTTCGCCGCAGCAGCAAACTATTAGGGTTAGGAGGAAAAAGAGGGGGTCCATCGGAGGGTAGCAGAGAGTAGAATCGTTAGTCGTGGCACGTTCGAGCGAACGGTTCACGCGCGTGCTTTCGGGTACGCGGAATCGTAAGGGTGTGTGCGTGCAATCTGCAACTGCGGCTGTTTATCGATGTGGCCGCTTTACACAATGCCACGCAAACTTGTGTACAGTGTGCATATTTCCTTGGCGCGCATTGGCCCGTGCATAATACGCGTTACACAAGCCAGGGTACTGTGAGTCGTGTATGTACACCAGGGCTACGGTTGTACGTGGGCCAGCCTCCCTTGTACACGTCATCTAGAACGCATATATTTGCCTGTGTATACACATAAGTGTACTTACTATTCCGGGACCAGTGAATCTACAGGGTAGGTTAGCGTTACCGCCAGTCTGCGCCAGGACATCCTTGACAGATGCAGCTACCGAAGGAAGGACATTATTCTGATTCCGGCCACCCTCGTTGCTCGTCTTCTCGTCGCGAACCCCGGCATCTGGAAATATCGAGAAGCATCCGTTGTAATATCGTACCCGGTTCACGGTTTCCACGAATCTGGGTTACCTGGAAGATAGGCGGTGAAAATTAACACCGCGCTATCGGTGAAAGTTCACGCGCGTTTCCCCGGGCAGGATAAAGGAGAAATGAAACCGTTTCGAAAATCTTATGAAATTTCATTTTTCTTAAGTTGCAAAGTATAACTTCGCGCTTCGACGATTCGGTGATCGACGTTCGAGGAAAAATCTTTTCAGAATGAATTCGAAAGCGGGAAAACTTTCAGGTAGACGGAAGGAAAACTTTTCACCATAGATATATTTGTTCGTTCTTCTCCACGAAACACCCCTCGTTACGCTCTTATTTTACTCTTGTTCCCTCTCGTTTTTATAGTTTCCCCGAAAAACACGCGGCCTCTCGATTTACAGTAGCTCGCGGTTTTCTTCGCTGGTTTAAGGACAACGACGTCGTTCCGCTGTATTACCGTCGGAGAGGAGTTTCGTTGATCACACGAGCTCCTTTTGCTCCTCTGATATTTTCCCCGGACCCCGGGAGTCCCTCGCTATCGAGTAACGTACGTGTAACGACTTGGAGGCAAGCCGAAAATTCAAGAAATTGCATTGCTCGAGAATATCGTGGAGGAGGACAGCAGGAGTCGTTGCACTCGATGCTGATTGGACGAGGCAACGAGCTGTGCCAAGCCGCTGGCGAATCTTATGCTTTCCTTTTTTCCTTTTACTTATTAAACGCTACTGAATTACTCTCTGTCTGGAGAGATTCTTATCGTTCGGCGTCTCTTCATCTATAATAGTCATAATTAACAAGGGTTAAATGATTGATGGTCGGATTACTAATATGGAATCGAACGTAGAGACGCGAAGGTTTATATCGTTTCGACTTTCTTAGTCGACTCGAAACGTTAGCTGAAGCGTGTGTCGCAACTGGGTCGTTGGTAATTACCGAAGTTATTCACTCAGCTATGCAGACCGGAAGCGAGGCGGTCGTGGCAGCCACAGAATTTAAGATTCACTCTACGTAGAGTAGCAGCAGCAGCGGTGGTAGCAGTAGGAAACGGGTGGCTCTCTCGGTTGCTATCCTCCTTCCATTGGCCATCCGCCTACGGTCCTGCTGCCATCCTGGTTGACGAGCTTCTTAAATTGCATTACCTATTAGAGCGACTACCTTAAAATTGTACGCTCCTCTCTCGGCTCTGGCCGTGCCTGCTAATTTGCACCGGCAAAGAGAGGGACCGGTAATTCGGGGTTACCTCGGCTTATCTGCTCAGCTGCGATATTCGCAAAGGGCCTGCAAAACCTCTCTTTCTCCCTTATTCTCGCCCTCTTGATTAAAGCGACGATTTTTTTTTGAATCAAAGGAGACGAAATTACGGCGTACTTCTTACACGAGGGTAGGAATCTGAGAATCCGCACGTTTCGTGTATTTTCCTTAGGAATCGAGCGGACGAGTGTTTCTCGGTGTCTACGGCTGGAATCGTAATTGGCTCGGACAAAAAAGAATATCGGGTACGAGAGGTGAAAAAAAGGATGTAAAAAAGCTTGGAGCGTCGTCTGAAGTGAAATTCTGATTACGTTTATTTTTCCACGACGACTGCTATTATTTACTTACCGTCGTCTCGAATCGCGCAAACTGCTGTTTAAATCATTCTGTACGGCACAGGGCATGGTCATTCGTATAGGGGTAATTTCTTTACGTCACCGACTATAATAGGGCTCGTTTTATGGCTTCCTCCGTCAGATAAACGGTCAGATAAACAACACGGATTTCAGGGAAAAAGCGCATTAAATGGCGTACGTTTCGCGGTAAATTGAATTTTCGTAAAAATACGATTTCTCTGTTTTATTCATTGCCAAGCATAATTCAACGTAGAAACGTTTTTATTCTTCTCGGCTGGATAACCAACTTTCGAGTGTAATTTCATAAGCGCGGTTACCTGGCTCGCGTTTGCCAAAATAGCTATCAAGTCGACGCAATCTCGTAGACGGTGAAACGGCTTAAAGTGATGGCGAGCTTTGCATCCGCAAAGGCATGGTTCTTCTTGTCACGAGGGCACAAGGTGGCTTGCTACCGTGTGGTTTACCTTGTGGATCAAGAAAGTGCAGCGCCTGCAGATACACGTACCGTCGACGTAACATCGTGGATGTTGGTTGGTAGTAAAGGTTGCCAACGGGTTAGCAAAGCCTCTGATTACATCAGCAACACTGCGACGGCGGTTTTGTAGAAACGAAAGCATTTCTTTTTATTTTCTATAAATCATTTACAGATTTCCTTGGATTATAGGTCATTCTGGTTTATTCAGCTTCAAGCAAACTTCGAGGTATTCTTGTCTCTCAGTTGACGCGGATTCGATTGCTTGGAATTGATTGAAATGCGTAATCTCAACTCCAGTGGAGTGTCAGCCGGATCGATCTGGGCGTTAGGAATCTCTTTGTACTCGAAACGTTGTATTCGCGCCGCAGGATGTCATTCGGTGCGGTTAGAACAAGCGTAGATAGATATACATAGGTACAGAGTATAATCGTAAGAGGATTCGACGCATCGATTCGACGAAATACTTGTTTACCGGAAATTCTCTCGCTATGTACGACACTTAGCACTCTGTTGTACAGGGAATTTTGAATTTTCAGCCACTGTTTCTGGGTTGGCAAGTCTGGGATTTAGAAATGACTCCCTCCGTCGAAAGGCACTTGCCTTTATAAATACTGAAAGTCCGTCCGGAAGGTCGGCGACGCACGGTACTTATACTCTGTTCTTTTTGTCTCGAGTAAAACTTAGATTTCTGGCCCTTATTATCATTCGATGGATACAATTTGAAGTTGGAAACCTTTTTCTAGTTCTTCAGAGCTTTCCTGACAGCATCCTCCCCTATATCGTCTCTCTATTATCGTCCAAGCTACCGCAACCACCAGTTTACGCCCTGCTCGCTCTCTCATCGACGCTAGTTTCAACTACTTACGGTATACCGAGCACGATCGATGCCTAAAGGGCTTTGACCACCGGATGATAAAGGTTCGAATGAACTTTGCGAGTGAACTTTGCGGTTACCAGGCTGAACGAGACGCGTTCACCAGCTACGATCCATTGTAAATACTTTCCTTGTACCTCGACCTTTTCTTATTTTCGAACTGTTCTGCCGAGAGTTTTTTAACCGACTCGGTTTATGGTATTAAAATTTCTTTCCTCGGGTATTTCATTATCAATCGAGAAGAAATTAATTAAACTCGCGAAAGAGGAGCCGAGAGAACGCGTTCGATAATCGTAATACGTCGAATCTTTGAAGATTCGAAGAGACCGAGAAATGTAAATTCTTCCGTGACTTATCTGCGGAAACGTTTCGAGCATCTTTTACAGAAGTACAGGGAAGGAACTTTCCGAGAGGAACAGAAGATCTTTGTAATTGGACAATTTGCAAAGATGAATTTTGAGGCGAACGAAGGTTCCCTCGTAAAGGAAACTTTGCGATTTTCAAAGCATTTCCTGAATTCTAAGACACTTTATCTTTGTCCACCGACACTGCGAGTCTTGCGAAAATAACAGCAAGTCGAGTGATTCTCGTAGGGTACACGAAAGTAGCCAATAACGATGCAAACAAGTTTTTCTTTTTGATAAAATACAGTAGTTTGCTGAATCAATTTTTCATCGATCCACGTCTATCAATTTCGTTTCCTGAAATTGTAGAAATTCGTTTTTAAAGGAGGTTCGTGCTCGTTTGTACGCAGACGTGCACAAGATTCGGAGGCATTCGTGACAATAAATTTCAGGAACGTTATTACGTTACGTAGCTACCGAGCCAATATATTTCTCCCTGGACGATTACCGTGACCCACGTTAATTGGAATCCTCCTGCTTTCGGGCCAACAATTATCCGATCGGTACACCGATCTCACCGAAACGTTTCTCCGTCGCGTGCGATCATCGACGTAACAGCGGAGAATCATCGAGAACGTACTTTATTTCTTTCGAGAAATTTGCTATCGCGCCTTATGGACCGTACCTGAAATTAAACGTCTTCGGAGAGGAAAATTTTCCTTCCATTTACGCGTTGCTCGTAGTTTCTCATAAAAGGAAGCTGTCGGTCCAGAAGGAATAAAAAACCGGCCAGTGTATATAAACCGAGGAGAATACTCGTAAGAAGAAAGGTTACTTGCTTCCCTTTTCTTCTCCTTTCCATTTCTTTTCCCGGGAAAATTTCCGTTTAATGGAGGCAACTGCGATTCAAGCACCTTTGTTACACGGTCCGTGTAGCACACGGAGAAGGTGATAGGGAAACGAAGCGTGCGAGTGGCGACGAGAAAAATACGTGGACATTTTTGTCCGCTGGTAGCTCGCCGGCGTGAATTTTCTTTCTTTCCAGTTTTCGTTACGCGGATACACCTCATAGCTCTGTTTCTTTCGCTTGATTTTATAACGCGTTCTTCGCAAGCTCCGTGTGAAATTATTTCCTGCCATTTATCCGTATCCTCGACAAAGAATAAACTTCACTTTTTAACCAGAAGAAAGTTGTCCCGAGACAAGCGATACCTCTATCTTCGTTAACCGTATTTCGCGTCCTTTCAAGCGGCGTCGAGTGAACATATATTTCACCCTTTATCTCAGCTATCGCCCGTCAACCTTCCCCATCTACCGGTATACGTCAGCAATCTGCAGGGAAGATGATAAAGGTTTATAAGCGTTAACGGTGACAGTTACGACGTTATAAACTCGAAACGTTCGTCAAACTAAATCGTATCCAGATCAATCCTAAATAGAGTTTCCATTTGCTCGATGTAAGAGCAGTTAATTACGATGGCGTTTTAAAAGGCAGGTAATTAAAGAGGTCGATTCTGATCGTTTCCTTGTTCGATGCTTTCAGATGGCAGCAAGCGGGAAAGGAGACGGAGAGGACGGAAAAGACGCGGGAAAAAGAAGGGACAAGGAAGGGGTGAAAGTGTCGTGGATAAAGAGGGTAGAAGAGGCGGGAACGGAGGATATCGGACTGCTCTATCTATGGTCCCGGCTTCATGGTGAATACGAATGAGCTGCTGGTCGATCGGGCTGAAGCACTAATTGAGAAAGTTCGCTGGTACCGCCGCTGGTGTTTCCTCTGGATGAAGATAGCCGACCACCTCTGGGGGTAAGTCTGCTCGTCCATTCCTCTTCTTCGTGATTAAGGCCTGTTCCTTTAGGCGTCGTTTCCAACGTTAAAGAACCGAAAAGTAAAGGGAAAGACGGCGATTCGGCGAGCTCGAAACTGTTCCTAACGAACGTATCTCGAGAGTAGTTGAGAAACATTCGAAACGATGTTTCGATGTTAAACGAAAACTCGTTCGTTCGCGCGATTATTACCGTAATTAGTGCTGTGAATTGTAGCTTTTAAAGAGCGCGTCTCTCACTCGAAACTCGACTCGATACCACTGAAAACTTTAACTTCCCTTTGAACGGCGTCCGATTCCACTTGCCCTGGCGTTTGACATAAAAAATTGTTCGCGACGGTTGACAACGGATCGGTTCGTTAAAAATACGAACACAAGCGTAGCGTGGCTTTCGGTTGGAATAAAATTTCCAATAAAGTCGCGAAACGGTTATGTTCGTTAAACGATGATTTGACTCACCAGTCGGATGAACGAGGTAACGCGATGATGCCAGCAACAGGAGGATCAATCGAAGCGCGCTCATGATGGCTTCGATTCATGTATCCATCGTGCGTTCATCCATGAATTCGCCTATAACGAAAAATCGTCGTTGAAAATTTATCCGAACGCCGCTGTTATAAAATCAGCAACTTTCATTTAAATCAAGCTTTATAATCATTAAAGAATAAAAATAGAATCAACGTCGTTTCTATTAGCTCGATATCGATCTTGGGGATATTTCGCGGTACAAAGTACGTAGATCCACTCTGCACGAAGAGATCTCATTTTCTACCGAGCACGGTAATACTCGAAAGGATCTTTTCTACTAAAATTCCTAATTAATCCTGTATCGGAAAGCCTTACCGAGGACCGAAGCCGACGGTGCATTGTTAATACCGATCGATGACTATGATTCACGTACGTCTACCATGCACGCATTCATCCGTCGGAGCTTATAGCGCAGACAAGAGCTTGTTCGTTCGGAAAATGCGTCCGGGATTTCGCGGCGATGTATCAAGCATCTCGAATAATCCAGGTAAACGACGAAGGACCGATTAATCTTCTCTCGTGCCACCTCTGTCCATGATTTCAATAATATTCCTGAGAAACCATATCGTTCGATATCGTTCAATCGGTCCCGATCGCAAAGTTCCGTGCGGCGCTGACTCTCCGGACGAATTCTTGGTATCTGTGGAAACAGCAAACGCTAGCAAGGGAACTTGGCAAAAATATCCAAATCCCAGACTGGTCGGATCTCAATTTCAAGTTCCACGAGAATACGCGTCCAGAGTCCAATAAGCAAGTTCCACGCGAGACGGGGAATATCCAAGTTTCTGGACAAATTCCTGGTATACAGGAAAGTATCTCGAAACAAAGGGAATAATTTCTAAAAGTCCGGATCTCGTCTGTCAGGTAGAAGCAGAAAAGTTGACGGCGAGTCGAAGTACAGGGGGGAATACTTTGAGGAGCGTAGTTGAAATTCCGGGATAGTCGTTTGCACGTGGATGATCGGTAATTTACGAATTCATAATCAGGCTCGTTGCGAACGGATAGCGGGAGGGAGGTGAAATAAATGCGAGAATTGCGTTTCGTGTTTCCCCAGTTTTCGATTAATTCGTGTAAACTCGCGCGCGTATGAATATTTATTTCTGCAAATATATATTAACGAGATGCAAAGTTGTTTTCCCCCGTAGCCGTGTTTCCCTTGAGCGATAAGCGTAATTAAAATGTTTTATAACGATATTTTATCGGCCCCGGCACTTGAATAATGCGTCGGGGACGTTTGTTTCCCAGCGATTCGAAGGGATTGATCGCGGCACGGGTTAATTGCTCGTCTCCGATTTTTCCGAGCAACACGCGTGTTCCTAGCACAAAATGGAAAGAAACGAGTTCAATGAATTTCGCAAGTTCACCTACGCACTCGTCCTTTCGCTACTTAATTAGACGCCGTTTTAACTGGCCGTTTGGTTGGATAGAGGCGAGGGTTCGCGATGAAAGCAACCACTAGGTGCTTGCGGCTATACAAATGCAGGCGAACCAGCCAAGAAGAGCGTAGCTTTGTTTTATCTGTACTTTCTAGCGGTTGTTGAAACGATACTCGTTCATATACTCTCCTGAATGAACCATTTGTAAGTCTGAAAAGGCTTTCAAGAACGGTTGCTTATATCGTTGCTTTCTTTAATTTCTCCCAAGAATCGTCAAGACCACGGTGCTTATCCATTTTACGAAGAAACGGTGAAAGATTTGTCGGGACGATGGTAACAATAAGAGTGTCGGTCACGATCCGGTTTCTTCTCGATGGAGCGTTTCCCGGGCATAATGCAAAACGCGGCTGGTTTCTTTAAACGCGCGGACCAGAAAGAGTGTCGCGTCGGTAGAAGAACCTCGAGAGATACGAGAGATAGGAGAAAGCTGGCAAATTAGTGTCAGCAGAGAGAGCAGAAGAGTCCGAAAAGCTCGAGAGGAGGAGGATATAAATGCGAACACTTTCATCACGGGTCACGTATTTTTCTTTCTTGCGTTTGTCGCGCTTTCCGTCGTTCCTGGATGAAGGAAAAAAGGAAAAGCAACCGGGCGAGGTACGTGGTCTTTTCGGTGAAACGTGCCGTCCCCGTGTCTTCGAGAAGAACCGCTCGACGGTGAAGGGTGGACGGGAGGGAAAGGAAAATTAAACAGCCACGATGAGCGTCCGCGCGACGAACAATTAGCATTCCTCTCTTTGTACCGTCGCGTCGCATTATTCATCGTCGACGAATCTTAGAAATTTCCTTAGAAACGGTTTCGAATCGGACGAAACGATCGCCAGGAAATTAGGAAATATTCGCGCAACGCCCGCGTCCGGAATTAGCCGTATATATTATCGCCGATGCATTCGTAATATTGGCTCGCGTTAACATAGGAAAATTTATGACGCTTTTTAGCGGCACGTGTCTGGCCGGGTTGTATTTAACGGCGCTGGTTCGTCGTGCCATTTGTTTTTATCGTCGAATAGAACGAAGGGGAACAAAAACGACTCACTTTCTGTAATTTCAATCGCTTTGATTTACGTCTCGCTGAAAAAGGTCTACCCCTATTTCGTCTAACGTTCCCCCAGTCTTTTAGACTTCCGTGGTTGAACGCAAACCGGACGGACAGTGCGATTCGGTCCGCTGCACGGAACGGTGTATCGTCGACGCAATATTTAACCCCGTTCGCAGTATTTCCCGTGGAAAAAGCAGTCTTACGCGGGCGATCGTGATTTACCGTCGAGCGAGTCGAATTATCGATCGCAGCACCGTCGATATTTTAACGCTGATACGTTCTCGCCGTGGCCGATACCATTGTTACGGGGTCCTATAATATCCAACGTACACTCGATATCGTATCGTTTCGTTTTCCTTCCTCGTAACTCACGGAGGGATTTTTCTTCCTCTGACTTTGCTTTGCAAGCGTATCGGGAACGGAAGCTCCTTTTCAAACGTCTCTACCCTCCTGACGTTAAACACCACGATTATTTTGCTAAAATCGCTGACGAGTAATTAGAACGGCGCGGTAGGAAGGTGTTAACTCTCGAAACGAACGGATAGCAACCCTCTCCCGGTGAAAATTGGGTTTGCCGAGGTGAGCGGCACACAGGGCAAGGTGAAACCCTTCCGTCTGAAAGTGTCTGCACGTGGCGGGGAAGCCGTACGTTGGGGTACTTGAATTATGTATATAACGCCGTCAGCCGGCCGTCTTGACGGTGTAACGAGCTGTCGATGTCAAGGCAAGGAACGCCGGTGAGGCAACCCTTGCCTCCTACAATTTATTGGCACGTCATAACGAAGGAGGATGCTTGTTCGCACGGACCAGTCCCTTGCCACCCTCGACTCATCGTTCGGATCTCTTCATTTGCCCTATTCGAACCCTTCGTACGTCAACGGGTCGTTACCGAGCCTCGTGGTTCCGTGCATTATACGATTTGATCGGCAACTTTGTACAGCTTCGTCAGAAGGGAAACAAATATCGACTCCCTTTCGATCAATATATTAATACACATTGATTTTCAGTTGAGGGTCTCTCGTGTTCGAACTGAAAGTTACCGTTGTTGCTGTTTCACGTAGGTTTCATGGTTCCCGTAGTTTCAGCGAAGCCTTCCATTTCCATTTGACGATTTTCGAGCAAACAGCGCCGGGTACAGTTGTTTCGGATCGCGCACAGGGAAATCGATGCAATTACTTGCTCGCGGAGATTTCGAACCGTTTTCGTCGTTACGAGTTTTCTTGATTTTTATCGAAGTCTCGTTTCACCGAGGATCGGCGTATCGAGCTGGAAAATATGGTCGGCCGGATCGTTAACGGGAAACTGAATTTCCGAATAATAGGCAGTTAAAACGCATAAACGGGCCAAGAGATTTTTAATTTGGAAAGCGGGTATCGCTATTCGGTCGACCGTATTTTCATATTAATGAACTACTCTGCGTTCGTCGGATAATCATTTGCTCGTTATTTACTGGCCGCTCGATAACTCGTACTAACTTGCACCTCGATGACGAATCGATGATATTAATTTTCTTTCCTGCTCCTCTTCGGATTTTATTTTAATTTCAATTTCCGAAGGAATCTATAATCTTGACAGCGGTTGCTCTCAGTTGATCGAACTTTCCCTTTAACCCTTCTTTCAAGTTTCGAACCAATTCTAAGGAACTTGTTTTCATTAAGTCACTGCTCGTTATTATTCTTCCTCCGTGATTTATTCGAAGCTATCGTTGGTACTTTTGTCATTTTTAATAGCTTCTGCTCTGTAGATTACATTGAATTAAAATAAATGTTTCGCGGTCTCTTTTTCAGCGTCGAGTATCCTCGACCGAGCATTTCTTTGATCCTTGACCCAAATGTTACATGTTTGCGAAATAAAAACGGACAGCCCTGACATAGAGAAATGTTTGTTAATTAAGCTATCGCGTAGAGACGGCAGATCTCTGCACCACGGTCGTTCACTTCGACTCGCGGTCGACACCGGTGTTCGATCATTAAATTTATCGCGGTTCGTAAATTTCCCGCCTTTTCTGGCCGGATAACGTCTCGCGATCGCGATCTAGACGAATAAGTAGAATGCTGCATGCAATTACTGTTTCTCACGTGCAACCGCACGATTGCGAGTTGTTTCGCCGCGAAACTTTTACATCGCACGGTATGGTATCGAGGAAAACTTTCGTCGCTCAAGTTTTATCGTTTCCTTCCGTCCTCCCTTTTTTTCGGTATACTATTAGATGTCGTGGAAGAAAAAGAAATTGGGGTGAAGAGGGCGAAAACAAAGGCGGAGATAGAAGGGAAGATTTTTGGAGGGTTTTCTATAAACCGCCATTGAATATTTTTTCCTTTTTTTCGATCTAAAACCCCATGGAGGATGGCAAAGAAATTAATGGACCGTATCGACGATACGTTGATGCGTTTCGTAAGCAGTGTACCGGTTAGAATGTTCCTCTGTATCGCCACACTTCTATGATGGTTAATCGAATCGAATCGAATCGGATCGAATGGAATAGTATTGTATCGACGCAACGCGACGCAACCCCTGTCCCAAACTTTTCACGTTAAATCCGTCCTCCATTGAGGTTTTTTCTTTTTTTA